ATGTATGTATCTATGTATCTATGTATGTATCTATGTATGTATGTATGTATGTATGTATGTATGTATCTATGTATGTATCTATGTATCTATGTATCTATGTATCTATGTATGTATGTATGTATGTATGTATCTATGTATGTATGTATCTATCTATCTATCTATCTATGTATGTATGTATGTATCTCTGTATGTATGTATGTATGTATGTATCTATGTATGTATGTATGTATGTATCTATGTATCTATGTATCTATGTATGTATGTATGTATGTGTGTGATATACATCAGTATATATAAATCAAGATGACAAAACCATCATCCACTCAGCGGACCAGGCCACGAGGAGGACTTTCATCAAAGTCATGAGGTTCACCACGGCTTTGCTCAGAGATAAGCCGCCCATCAAAAGCAATGTGCAACCCCTCAGAACGGGAAGGTTTGGCGGCAAACTCTGGAGGGGCTGCACAATCGATCCCTAAATGTCCAAGTATGTCCAGGTAAAGTATGGAAAGGGGAAATCTCTTTGTGGGCTTCAATCCAAGACACGCAGTCAGGAAAGCAGCAGACAAGTCCATGTAATTGTGGTCAGTCCTGAAGCCCAAACAAATATACATATGCGTGTTTGGTGTGTTTGTGAGAGTGAGTGTTACAGTGAAATGCACCCGTGCAAGCGCCAATTGAAAGTTGAACTCCCAAGTGATGGGATCGCATGACTTGCAGCAGTTGTCCATTTGTGCGCAACTTTTTCCCGTCATTGAAGCCTTCACAGGACCGAGCTTCACCGCCCGTCAAAGCATGGTGCTCTGGCATTTAAGAAGGCAGCATCAAGGTTAGTATGTCAAAGCGATGATGATGGCACACTTCGTCCCCAATTTCCCGCCGCCCGTGACTTTGTGCGGTTTTCTATGCACAGTATTCCGAGTACAACAACTAGGTTGACTAGATCCAAGTCAAGAACTTGAGCTGTTCCATCAGTTGAATCAAGATGAATCAAGATGAATCAAGAATGTAGTCCCCTGACATCCGCTGACATGTTTCACACTGATCGTGGCCCACCAGGGTCACCCACCACTTTCCGTCCTGGCATATGGATCATCCAATTCCGCGGCAGTGGCATTCGCTGCCCAAGTGCCCTTTCCGAAGTAAAAGAAGACCACGTGTTTGTAGTCCTCACCTGCGAATTCTCTCCGTTTCTCTCCGTTTCTCTCTCTCTCTCTCTCATCATCACTCTCTGTGTCTGTCTACTTACTAAGACTTGTCCTGTGAAGTTGGGTTCTCAAAGGAAAAAGGACCGTTCTGCATTCAAATTTGCCGACGACTGGAAGACTGACATTTGGAGAAACGGGCAGGAATGGAATATAATACACAAAATATCTCTCAGGAATTGTCACAATGTATCTTGAAGGCCAGTGCTGCGCATGGAAAGCAATTTTGATGCCAGTTGATGCATGGTTGCGGCCATTCTATTGGTTCATATTGGTTTCCATCCTTTAAAACAACGGCACTGTGTGCTTTCTTTGACACTCTAAGATATCCCAATTCCGAGCCTAGAAAGTTGCCCATCTTCCTGGACCAATTCCTTGCCACACCTGCACCTGTCGCAGTTGAGCAGGGAAAAATTGATGCCAGAAGTGATTGCCAAAAAACTCTGCCAGAACTCTCGCTTTTGGCACCTAAAAGATATCAGAAGAGACACTAAGCGTTTTTGCTCCTCCCAGAAGAAGCTTAATGATTTAAAATTATTTCAAACTTTAGCCTCTTAACCTGTGGGCCTTGTGGACCATGGAGGGAACTATGGAAGGGACTATGGAAGAAACCAGGGCAATAAGGATATCTTATAGAAGGTGATGTTAGAAACCATGTCAAGGGAAAATTGTTTTTGAAGAAGTAAAGGAACAAAACAATGCACACAGCGAGGACACATCCAGATTCATCAATCTGGGTTCGCACTCAAAGTCGTGAAGTACTTGACCTGAATTGAATTTGTATTGTGGACCGGTGATGAATTCAGTTTTGCTAATAACAAAAACTTGCCATGGATACTTTATACCTATCTGATCCACAGTCTATAGATATAAAAATCTGATTGTGAGATTGGGGTGAACTTATGTTTCGGCCTTTCTTTTGAAGACTAAATCTACTTAGGTAATCTTAGGTGCAAATAAAATTCTACTTAGGCGTCACGAACTGACGCCTAAGTAGAATTCTATTTGCGCCAGATAGATTATGCATTCCAAATTCTAGTCTGGAACTGTTGGAAGACAAAATTCATAATCTACTTGGGCGCAGAAAGAATTCTGCTTAGGCGTCACGAACTGACGCCTAAGTAGAGTTCTATTACTATTTGCGCCTTATTAGACCATGTCTTCCAAATTCTAGTCTGGGGCTGTTGGAAGACATAATTCATAGTCATAATCTACTTAGGCGCAAATAGAATTCTAGTCTGGGGCTGTTGGAAAACATAATTCATAATCCACTTTGGCGCAAAAAGAATTCTGCTTAGGCGTCACGAACTGACGCCTAAGTAGAATTCTATTACTTTTTGCGCCTTATTAGACCATGTCTTCCAAATTCTAGTCTGGGGCTGTTGGAAGACATAATTCACAGTCATAATCTACTTATGCGCAAATAGAAATCTAGTCTGGGGCTGTTGGAAAACATAATCCATAATCTACTTAGGCGCAAATAGAATTTTGCTTAGGCGTCACAAACTGACGCCTAAGTAGAATTCTATGTGCGCTTAAGTAGATTATGCATTCCAAATTCTAGTCTGGGGCTGGCATTTGGGTGAAAATATGGTTTGTTTTTTCTTCAAGATGGGAGACATACTCAGGCGACAGAAACAAACGCCGAAGTGGAATTCTATTTGCAGCTAATTATGTTTTTAGTGTGAGACTGGGCTAAATTCAGCTTTGATTACTTAACAACCTTGCCCCAAATACTTGAAACCTTGAATAAATACACAACCCGCATACAGATAGTGGGTTTAATTTATGGAGAAATACTTAGGTGGAAGGAACAGGCGCTGAAGTCGAATTCTATCAATATGTAATTTCAATTATTTGGAAGGCAGTCATGTGTGTTTGGGCGCGCTGAGCTGGCTTCTGCAATGTGTTCAGGCTGTTGGGATTCTGTGACTTCGCTTTCCAAAAAAGAACAAAGGCAATGCTGGTTGTTGGCTGCATTCCCATTGCTGTCTTTTTCCCCACCAGTTCTGGACTGGATCAAAAATATGCAGTAGCGGTAGCAGTGCAACATCCAGGCTATATTGTTGGTATTTTGTCACTCTGGCAAGACTGTTGCTACTACCGTGCTACTACCCATACAAGAAACAAACTATATTGTATATAGCTGCCGATAATTTCTTGGACCATGATTTGATACTTTTCAGAATATATATATATATATAGCGCTAGCGGTGGGGTTCTTGAGGGTGATGATGGGTTACTTTCAGGTTGGGACTAATGCATCCGGAATGGCTCAACCTTGTCCGTGCCTTCCTATTCCCGGGATTCTTCGCACAGAGAACCAATTTACGTGACAATTTTCTTAGCGCAGAGGTCTCCAGAACGGTTCGGAACGGTTCTGCAGACCTCCAGAACGGTTCGGAACGGTTCTGCACACCTCAACTTTGCACGGAGATATTTCTCCACAGCTTCCAAACCCCCCAAAAAAAACGGTCAAGAGCAGTTCCTCCTGTTTCGCATTTTCAAAACCTTCCAAAGAGCCGCCCTGTGGCTCCAAGGGCCAAGGCTACAAGGAAGTCAGAAAAACGACAAAGGGGAGGCAACTTCTCCGCCTAAGTCTTTGAACAAGCAGTGCAAAGGCATGCTGAGCACAAGGGAGAAGGTGAAACTGGATGTAGACTACAAAAGGCTGGAAGTTTCTCAGCTGTTTGTTCATGGAAGGCGTGGCCCCTTTCAAAATCTTACCTGTCTTGAAAACTGTTCTGTGGAATCTTTTCTAACAAAATCATACAACTGTGTAGTTTGTATTGAAATATCCGTTTGAAAGTATCGCTTGTGTCGAATCATCATTGCTTATGGTACTAGTATGCGTTTATTTGTTCAAACTTTATGTATTAAAGTTAAATAATTATATAGTCAAAATATGCTATTATACAAGTTAACATATGCTATTATATGGAGGTCCCCGGAACCGTTCCGAACCGTTCTGGGGTCTATAGGCTTTGAATCCAGAACCGTTCCGGAACCGTTCTAAATAGTTCTAAATAGTTCTGAGGTTTTGGAAGTATCCGGAACCGTTCCGAACCGTTCTGGGGATATCTCCGGAACCGTTCCGAACCGTTCTGCAAACCCCAAATAATGGCTTATATGTTAACTTACTTTTATACTTGTATATAACTTGATAAAACCAAATATACACACTTGTAGCTTATAGCTACTTTGTAAAATACAACTCATAATCCATAACTCTTGACTATCAAACTTCAATAAATCAATTTATAAAGTTTAGGAACTGTTTTAAAATTGAAACACATTGTTATAACACTTAGAGCTTCTAGTTATGACTTGACACTAAAAACTGTGTAACTTATAACTTTGTAACCTTTTAACTTTGAACCTTTAACTTCTAACATAACTTTGACTTTACTTCTCGATTTGACTTCAACTGTTTAACTTTATAAGTATATTTTTGATGTTTGCTTTACTTTACTTGCTTTGTATTTATGATTTATATAAGACTGTTTGAGTTTTTAGATGAATTATATGTTCTTGTTTGTTCGTGTATGTTTCAAAGTTTGGAAGTATATCGACGGGGGTTGTTTGTATAAAATGCAACAATAAAGTTTAAGCGTTGTATTTGGATAAAATGACATATCTATAATGATTGTAATCTGTTACTGCAACACTGCTACGGACCAATGCACAACAACGTAGCGACAGAAATTCAGTAACACATCTTTGATCTGCTACAAATACGTAGGATATCGTAGGATTCCGTTTGCAGTTGATAAATTTGTTTCACCATGGTTTACCTAAGTTTTACCGTGGTCTTCGCAGCACCGAAAACAATACTTAAAAACTGTGGATTTGCATTTGCAGTTCATCCATGCACATGAGCACACAGCCATACATACACTCATCAATGCACTAGTTAACCAATTTTACAGTATACAGGGTCACATCGTAATATTGTTTTTATGAGTTGTTTTTCTAGTTGGAGCTTGCGCACATGCATTCTTTGGTGTTCTCCTTTTTGAAGAAATATGGGGCCCCGAATTACACAGATGTTGTATATTGTTGTATACGGTTTTCCTTTCCAACTTACGGACCAATATTTTCAAATACGAAGTTTGTATGTAACATCTAACTTGATGTTGAAAGGTTTTTTGTCCAAGAACTTGGAGCAATGCGTTTTTCTTTCAAAGTGGTGGGTTTCTTCATTGGGTGACATTTTTAGTGGAAACACCCCTTATTTCCATGGATTGCTACATAGTTCTTTCCATAGTTCTTTCCCTGGACATATGAAATCAACAGGAATCCAAATTTAAGAGACTAAGGTTTGAAATAATTTAAACATATTTAAACTAGTGACCCAGAATGATCCGAACACATTTTGCCACTGCAGATTTGTCACCTGGTCATGTCATAGCCCTACCTCCCAGCACAAATCTGATCCTAGATAGTACAATTGTCCTGAACCCTCGAACGGCTGTTAGCGCCGCACCAGAAACCCGCAATCACAAATGAATGCAAGAAAATTGAGGGATGCAACCTGCCTGAGACTCCATACTCCAGAGTGATGCAGAATGCACCTGAGCTGCGTGGCCGTTGTGAGATTACAGCGGAGGTTGAGAGCTTGAGATTCCTAGCATTCAAAACCGCTCTTGCACGCTATTGGTACATTATGATGTGTATTGATTTGCTATATCGGGTATATCTATCGCTCTGTCTCTTGCTCCTTTGATGGCTCCAGATCTTATTGTGACTTTTGCTTAGACCCTCGCATACGATGCTGTCTAGGAATGCTGGAAATGTGATTGGACCCCCTCATATCCCTGCATCTTGGATGCCTTGGAGCAGACTGTACCTGCGTAATTAGGGAGGGCAAAAAACCTCTGTCCGCGATTTGAAAGGGGAGGGCCCGGGAGGGCCAAGATTCTACCCCAGCACCACTTGGATGGCTCAGGCGCCTATGACAGCCCAGAGCTCTCCAAGGCCGTGATAAGAAAATGTGTAGCAGGAGCCTCTGGTGGGAAGTCTTGCCTCAGATTCATACTGTGTCAGGCAGCGTGCATTGTCAGAAGATTTCTGACGGTATTTCAGAGACATGTGCTGCATGGCAAACTGACTCTCAGGAAATCTGTTGGCAGCAAGGTCTTTAGGTTGTGCAAAATGATAGGAGGGCCAGGGCTATCATAGAAGAATCTTTTATGCATCTTCTTTGATATTCTTGGTCTAAGGATGCCGCTGAGAGCTCCATGTATGCGAAGCCGCTCAGGAGACAGGCCGCACCAGCGAAAATCCAACTCAAACTAGCTGAAGGACCTGCAAATTCGCATAGTTCACATTAGTTCACCAAGGGCACCCCTTGGATTTTGGGAAGAACATCTCATGGTGTGATCTCCAGGTGACCAAAGTTGGCAGGGGTTGAATCCTATCTTAGGGGTTGGCTTCCAATGGTGTTTGATTCACTTGGCATGTCCCGAAAATGGCAGTCCACTGCAGCGAACAAGACAAGACGTGGACTTTGGAGGGCCCAGCGAAATGAAAACCCTCTTCTCAAAAAGGAGCAGGATATGCTTGAAGTTGCTTGAAGCATGGATTTCTAATGTATTCTACATATATATATATATATATGTATGTATTATATTATGATTATAAATGTACGCAAACATAGTGTATGTCTTATCTGTGCACGGCGTATGTGCATACACATGTACTATATATATTGCATGCGTGGTTGCAATGAATCTAATCTATATATATATATTTCATAATTATACAGTATTGTATTTGTACACATGCCCATGCCATGCATCGGATTATATTTACATAAATTATTATAATGATGCCTGTGGTTCAATCGTATGCCGCCAGAATCAGAACAGCCTGCAAGAATCACACGACTTGAAATAGAATGCTCTGGCATTGCTCTGGCCAAGTACCCGATTCATCCCAGAATATTAATGTTGGCTACCTAATAATGAAACCCACCCCCCTAATTTTTTGAAAAAAAAACATTTTTTTAGGGGGGTCAGCATTCCAATAGTAAATTCCTGGAACCCTATGACTGGGATCTGTCTCGATACTATACCATGCCCTCTGGACAAGGTCAGAACAATAGTTTTTTGGCAATACTAAAATTAAATTAAGCTAATTGACTTTTAGTATTGGAGATAACACTGGAGTTGGGAAAAAAGGTTTCTACTATTGCCAAGATATCACTATTGGCTAGACAACATTACCTCGTTAATTGAATTGAAGATTGAGCATGATTCAGCTATGTTGAACTGTTGAGCAAGCCATGGAGATCGGCTATATATTGTCAAACCTGGCAACCCTTCAGCCGCAACCTGCAACAGGTAGTACATCCCCTGTGAGGACGAAAACACCAGAGCCCACCGTGGAGCCCACTCCAATGCAGAGCAAATCAATCAAACTCAGCCTAGCAAATGCTGGTTTCATGCTGGTTGCGACTTGTTTGATTTGTTTGCAATTGCATTACAAATCTCAATGTCAACAAAGAATGCACATCATTTATGGACATTTATGGGGCACATGCATGCATATGCCACTTGGCGCGCCAAAGACTTCTACAATGTGGTTCAAGCCGCTCTCAACCAGGCATCCAAATTCAACAAATCTAGCTGGCTGTCTGCAGTTGCAAGGAGAGGCCATTTCCGTCCGTCTGTTGGTCTATCTGTCTACCTGAGAACTGAACTCGGTCCATTCATAAACGACTGTGTCCTTGCTGATGCCGAGGCGCTTTGTCTCTGAAGGTGGTTCATGTTCCATTTCAGCGATGACCGCATCCTTAGTGTGCGCTGATCAATGTCAATGCTATATTATCATGCTATGCATTTGCTCAGGCAGGCAGACTTCTGCAAGCGTAACTCAATGGCAGCCTTCCCAATCACTCCCGAAAAACTATGAATTGTAGCAAACCTGCATGCATAGAGTCGAATGACAACGCGCCAATACAAAGGACCCTTGACAAGGTGCTTGCGTGACGACATCGTTCTTTTGATCATCAGTTGATCCCACAAAAATTCTGTCTGACTGCCAACAATGAAACAATTGACAATGGAAGACTTAAGGACCGGGACAAGAGAACGATCGATGTGGTTAGGAATCCCTGATCCAAACTGAAGCACACTGCTGGCATTATCTTCATGAAAGTGGCCATTGTTTTTCTTCGATTTGCAGCAGCAAAGCAGCAGCGTCGCGTGGTGTCTACTTTGGGCGTCTTGCACAGCTCGCCTCAGGCGGGAGATTCAAAAACCAGGTGACGAGCCACTTGATGCTACTTGTACATTTCTGCTTTTGAGACTTCCATTCCCATGGGATTCTAAGATATCAATCTTTGGTAAAACTGGGCATCGCTCTTTGGTAAAGCTGGGGCCTTCAGAATCTGAAGACTCCTCCTCTGCGCTGTCCGCGCTGTCATTGTTGTAGTCATGGTCTGCCATGGCGCGCAGGTTCCCTTGCTTGAGCTACCACCCAGTTGGCTGCCGGAAAAATTACCAAAATGATGCAACATGTTTTTGAATCTGAGCCGATTCTGGACAAGGAATCCTTTTTTCGCGGCATCTCTTTGGGCAATGCCCGTAAACACAATAAGCACAATACCAGTAAAAAAATGTATATACGCTTTGAATTTCATAGGTGGGCTGGGTCGATTTTGAAGGTCAGTCTGTGCTTTTCTCTCCGAAACAAATGAGTTTGCTGCCTAGTGCCTGCTGTCTTTGTACAGCGAGGCCCCTTGGAGCTCAAAACCGAAATTGAAAAAAAACTAGCCGGGGACGAAATGACAAACTCTTTGGAGTGCAAAAGAACGTGGTCGAGTAATTACACAAAAACATAAAAAAAACAGTAAGACACAAGAGGTTTGTCTGTCTGCTGTTGCACAGAAGATCTACCACCAAGGCCGAAGGCCAAACAAGTTAGTATGTCGTCCCCAGTTCTGCTGCAGAAACACGACCAAGCCCGGACTCCAAGAGAGTAAAAGAGCGAATTTGCAATCGCAGAAAGTATCAGAAAATAGGAACCCTGCAAATGACTGTCCTCCAAATTTCTACTGAAAAATTGTTTAGAATTCTGGACAGAACGAGTGTCTGACTTGGAATCCCAGTCCACTCTCCGTCACTGGTTTCCAGTGAAAGAATTCTCGTCTCTGGCTAAATACCTTTCCTTCATCTTCCATCTAAACGTAATTACAGCGTAGCCATGTAGCGAAAGTTGTGAGCGCTCTTGGTGTTGGCACTTCACATCAAAAAGATGCTTAATACTTAATTGTGTTTCTGATTTTCTGAACTGGGTCAAATCAGTTTGTGAGTGGGCGTTTGTGGAAATCTGAGTTTGATGGGTTTTCGTCGACATTTTGCTTTGAATGGCATCAGAATATGACAAATGGTGAGGGTGTTTGAGGCAGAAAGCATGGCCACACCTTCCGATCCACTAGTCGAATTCAGTCGATCAAAATGAGTTGGAACCTGCTGCTTGGCAGCAGCCCACCTCTCTGGCGCTCGGGCACAAACCCCACGCCCTGAAGTTTTGCAAAGGACTGCACCACCTGAAGTTTTTCTGAGACTGTTTGGAACGGTTGCATATCTATCTATCTATCTATCTTATCCTATCCTATCCTATCCTGTCCTGTCCTATCCTATCCTATCCTATCCTATCTATCTATCTACCTAATCTTATCCTATCCATCTATCTATCTAATCTTATCCTATCTTATCCTATCTTATCCTATCTTTTCCTATCTATCTTATCCTATCTATCTATCTATCTATCTATCTATCCATCTATCTATCTATCCATCTATACATCTATCTATCTTATCTTATCTTATCTTATCCTATCCTATCTATCTATCTATCTATCCATCTAATCTTATCCTATCTATCTATCTAATCATATCCTATCTAATCATATCCTATCTAATCTTATCCTATCTATCTATCTGTCTGTCTGTCTGTCTGTCTATCTATCATTATCTATCATTATCTATCATTATCTATCATTATCTATCATTATCTATCTATTATATAAAATATATAATACATAATTAGCAAGTCATGTTTGCAATCTTTATGGCCCTCAGCTTTGGCAACTTGTTTTTCACCTCTTCTCCAATCTTCCCACACATGGCGGAACAAGACTTGGAGTTCCACTGGAGGGAACGCATGTCGATTGTGAGCTTCCTGGCGATGGCATGCAAAAAGGAAATCAACCGCCAATATCCGCCAAGCAAACGTCACCTATGACGAGCTTGGAATGTCCAAAAATTTTGAAGATTCTATGGAAATGCTTCTCAAGAGTTTGTGCAAGCTTTTAGACAAACTGTCTGTCACGATCTGTGTGTCCTGCTGCAATGGGTAATCGCAAATGTCGCGGCTATGAGAGTTATTCTACATATAATTCTTGCCAATGCAGTGGATGTCTAGGAGATCTGTTTGTGAGTCAAGAGTTGCCAGCTCCGTGTGACTCTAATAATTTGACTTTGTTTTGGTAAGATCAGCAGATTACAACTTGCAACTCCACACACTGCCGCCCAAAACGTCTCCGAAAACTCAAAGCCTGCATGACCAATCACATCCTACAACCCTAGGTTCATGTTGGTCTGTAGCTGACTTTCGCAGTTGCTACTGCCATCTACCGCCATCTACTACCATCTACTGCCATCTACTACCATCTACTGCCATCCACTGCCTGCATACTGAAAATCAATAACACACTACTATATAGACAGAAAGGAAAATGACAGAGAAAACACTCAGTCAGTCTCGTTGTGGGACCTCCTCTGCGCGTCAATAGAACATAAAAGAACCAGGTGGAGTCTCATGGGAATTGGATGTTGGCAGATTAATTTGGATTAATTTGGCAGATCTGTTGGGCTCAACCTCCACCCGGATGTCATCCCTGGCATCCCCTCCGAAAGGGGCGCCCTCGGCGCTCACGCCCCGTCCTCGTGTCCAAACACTGCGGCAGCTACCAGCAGTGCCTGGGCGACTGCCTCGGGCGGTTTCGGCTGAGACCACGGCTAGAAGGTAATGCATAGGTAAAGCCTAGGTAAAGCGGTAAAGCCATATGAAGTTAGCCAAAGTTTCTGTTAAAGATATTTATAGAGTAATTGGATCAATAATTACTCAGGAATGAGGACCAGCAAGATCATATCATGAATGAAATCACAGCAACTGCGGTTTCAAGGATAAAAGATGTGGGGAGCTGGTACTCCATTGGTGCCGAGGTGCTCCCAAAGTAAGCCGTTGTGGAGTCTTCTCCTGCAACGTTATATACAATATTGGCAAAATGTGGTCCAAAACTTGATGCAGGGAGCGTCGGACGTCGGTAGGGAAAATGTGCATCAAGAAATAGGTGACTTATGAATAAAGAAAGTGCACAAACATAAACTATATACTATGCGGTACGATATGTGTGTGTGGGCATGGATAATAATAATAATTAATCGGATATGTCATACATACACGTTCTTACCTCATTGTGGACATTTCGGGACGTTGCTGATGCTTTGACACGCACAAGCTCGCAAACCCTTTGACATGCACATCCAAAGCAATAAGCAAACGCTGCAGGGCGACACCTTGGCGTTCATGAATCAGCTGTCGAACAGTCTGCCTGTGCACGTCCAATAACCACGACTTGCTTTCCTTGCAATTTGTCGCTTGGCCTTACACTGCCTTAAGTGTAGAACATACCTGTGTACACTGATAGGTCTTTTTTTTTATCTAAAAGTCGTCAGCTCTCCCCGGGCCCCAGGTTAGTTGTTCACCAAATGCCTGATGCACTGCTCCCGAGTGACCTCTGCAGTTGCTCGGTTTGTGTTTTCCGCAAGGAACCTCACCACGTGGAGCCATCAATCTGTTTCTGCCACTGTCGCAAATGTCTTTGAGGGAAGTGACAGAAAAGGGTCGCTTTTACTTTGATATGCACAGCTGAGGCACAATGAGTGAAAACTATGAAAGTAGTTGAGGAAAATGAATGAGTGAATGAATCTGCCAACGACCAACTATAAACAACAATCTTTCCTCTTGTTCCAGATATAGACACCGGTCAGCTTCTTGAGATCCGAAGGAATCAAACGTATATATATATATATATATATAAATAAATATGCGGTAACTACATCTAAACATAAATTTTCAATATACGAACGTATACGAGCTGGTATTTGAGACTGCTTCCGGGAAGATTTTCCTTGGCCCGCCCAGCCATTTAAACATACGGAATCCATTTTGTTTAAACATACATTATACAGATGGAACTTGTGTTTCATACTACCACCGTGGCCTTGTGGTCTGGCCGGCCCTCCATATGTTTATATAAATGTACCGTGTATATATATATATATATGATAAACTTAAATAAATATATATATATATACCGATGGCTTCCATATCCTGGAAAAAAGTGGGTTGCGGGACAAAAAAACATTTTTTTTTGAGCCAACACCCAGAAAAAAAGCGGATTTTGGTGCCGAAAACCTGCTGTTGGAGGAAAAGCTGGTTTTGCTAACCCGTCGAAAGTAAAAAACACGTAAATATTATATATATATATATCCCGTAAAAACCCGTCAACAACCCAGCGTCAAAGCCGCCGACGATGCAGCCAAAGGAAAACATAGGAAAACCAGGTTTTCACTCTGAAAAGTGGGAAATTTTGCAAAGCCCTCTTTTTCTTGGGATATGGAAGCTCAAGGTGTGTATATATATATATAATTATATATAGCGAGAGAGAGAGAGAGAGATGAACAGGATTCCGAATAATATTGTCTTCATATGCCTTGATGCAATACAATTTCCCTCTGTTTCCATAAGATTCCTGATGTCTCTTAGTGCTTGGGGCTGGTTCCATCGAATGACCCAAAGTCCATCTACCGAGTAGCTACGCCCCATGGGTGTTCTGGCTTGCGTGTACCGCAAGGGAGGCTCACTCTCATGCAGTTTCCAAATCTTCAAAGCTTCCATGGCTTCCTGCTGCCGGGGCCAGTGAACATCGTTGGGGGACATGGGTCCACCTGAATCAGGATGAAACTTGTACTCACTTCGGGGCTCAGCATGACTTTGCGCTGCAGCCAACCTACAAACACATGTTGAAGTCCAAACAGCACTACCCCCCGAGGTATTGAAATCCACTGGGCCAAAATGGGTGAGCTCTGGCAATGGGTCAGCTCTGGCATGTGAAACCTCCAACGTTTCAAGTCACAGCACATTGCGTTTGAACAAAGCACTCAATAGGTGCATGTGCTGTTCCATTAATGGCCGGAAAGCAGCGAACAGTATTCAATGAAAACTGGGCAGTAGCATCAGTAGCCCATTAGAACCACAACCCGGCTCCCTGCCGCTGTTGGCTGCGTCCCTTACTTTTTCATCCCCAGGCTTTCTTCATGGCAGGTGCGAGATGTGACTTCACATAAACCGTGCTCCTTAGTGTCAGCAGCTGCCCATGAAAAGACTATGACGGATCGCCGGTCAATGGCAGTAAGATATCTATATATTGATATATGCATATATATATATATTAACATTTTAACATATATTGACAAATTTACATATAATTATACATATGTATATTTATATATATAATATATTAACATATAATATATATATATATAATATATAATATAATACGTGGAAATATATAGATAGAGGGTTGCATGGCTTCACTACGTTTCACCATGTTTCACCTGTATCTTTTTGCCATCCAAGGGGCATGTGGATCCCATCCAGGCGCAGCTCAGGAAGCAGTTCCAGCTTGGCCAGGGTCAGTGCATCGGTATTTTCTGGATGTTCTGGCACGTCCTTTACAAAGATGCCTTTGTGGCAAGGTCTGGCGGTTTTCCCAACTGCTTGCAGTGTCTCAAAAATGGATGCGAAAACATGGACTATCATCACCGTGGGCTTGGCTTCAATGACGTTTGCACAAAAACTGATGAAACAAGTCCAACTAAGTCCAACTATACACTCAACTAAATCATCTATTCGATATTTGTCTATGTGAATCTTATGGATCCTGAAGGGAATGGTTTTGCCACAAATCACTGCAATATATTGCAATGTGGATCGTCTATTCGCGAGGCAGCTCAACGCCGAGCAGCTTTCAACCCTTAAAAGTTTCACCCTCGCCTGGAGCGCTGCAGGAATCCCCATGGTCACTATGGAGTCACTACGGCATCTTCTCAAAATTTCTCATATTTTCCCAAAAGAATAAGAAACTACGGATCCGGTGGATCTACGGACCTGTCATCCTTGAGACATTGAAATCAGTTCTAAAGCTACCAAACACGTTTGAAGACGAGGAACCGTACTGCACATTACAGTACCACACGGTACAAACTAAGATTTATTGCATTTTGCCAGGCAGTGGTTTAAGAAACCTGACTACACCGGAAGAGGATGACGTCCCATATGTACAGTAGTGGATTGGGCGGCGTTCTGCAGCAACCAGCCACGTGCCATTGATGCCTTTTCCATGGAGAGTTGGCTCCAATCAGTTTCCTCAGCCATCCAAACAGCATCAAACACTAGAGATGAGCACACCCACTGATGATACATACATGCTGATTTGGTGGTTGACGTCTGTCCATACCTGTAACGACAGGTGTTTGCAGTTTCTGACCCTCTCACGTGATTTAGTTCAGGGAGCCCCTATACCTCAGCTGACAAGCTGGACCAGCCACTGCCCAAGCATTGACCCGCCAAAGTTGCTAGGAGAGTGTTCATGGCCATGGTCAGGAAGCGTGTCTCTGGCAGCGCGATGGGCCTTAGCTTCCGCGAAGATCCGTGAAATAGCCTGGCACTCCAACTCCAACTCTCCGTTGTGGATCCACATTGGGGCGAGGCCTTCTGGGGCATACCATTGCATCAATGGGAATTCCAGGATCCTAAAATGAAGGTACTGTACCATATAAGGCCATATTTTGTGGGGATATTCCCTTACATAGGCCTTACATAGGCCTTATATATGGTAGGTACCTCCAATCTAGGATCCTGAAATGGCCATTGATTGCATATCTAAATATTTGTCTATCTATCTGTCTGTCTATTTATCGATTTATCCAACCCTATCGGTTAATCTAATCCTACCCAGCACAATGAAATCTAATCCTTATAGTATCTCATCCTACCTAATTCTGCCTCGTCCTGTCACATCCTACCTAAACCTATCTTATCCTAGCTATGTAATCCTATCCTATCTGTCTAATCCGATCCATCTATAAAATCCTATCTATCAATTCGTATCTATCGAAGCCTAACTATCCTAACTATCCGATCTTCCTATCTTTTCTCTCTATCCTTTTTTCCTATCTATCCTATCTGTATTGTCTATCTGATCTGTCCTATCTATCCGTTCTATCTTTTCTATCCTACCCTACCCTACCCCATCCCATCCCCACCCATCCCATCCTATCTATCCAATCATATTTATTTAGCTATCTATAGATCTATCCCATCTAACCCAATCTAATCAATTCTAATCTAATGTAATCTAGTCTAGTCTAATACAATCTCATCTAGTCTCATCCAATCTAATCTATCTATTCATCTAACCATATCTATCTGATCATATGTGTATATAATATATATAGATATAATTATACATATTTGTTTCTTTCTATCGTTCTTTCGTTCTATTTTTCTATTCATCTATCTATGGTTCATGATTTCTTTCTGTCTTTCTACCGTCCTATCGTTCTATCTTTCTATATGTTTATCTTATTCATCTATCTATCCTCCCATCCACCCACCCATTCATCTATCCATCTGTCGCTCTATCTATCTGTGTAAATATGATTTTGCTATTCTGAAAACCAAATACAACAAATCCGAAAGAGGGCATGAGGCATGATAAAGTTGCTGACAGACTGACAGGGCACACTGGGTGCACGAAAAGCTTATTGGATGGCAACTTCTTCCGAACTTGCACCAAAAGATCCTCAGTGTGCCCTAGGTGCAGGAGCAGTACCCTTCAGCAAGTGGCATGTCTTGGCATGAAGCTGCTGTTCCCCCATACACAACGACTGACTCAACAAGGCAGGCTGTTCCAGGCTGTGCCAAACTGAACTCAGAGCACCTAACACATGCCTATAGCTCTGCGTCTAAATCCGAGAATAGGCTCCAGGTACACGTTGACAACTGTCCGCAAGGCATCATCAAAGCTGTCATGCTTCCCCTGTCAAACCATTGCATTGGGAGCCAAAGTTTAAACCCAGGACATTGCGTGACAAAAGCCGTAACGGTCCAAAATTTTTGAGTTCCTATTTTTTTTATGCTTTCGATTCGCCACTTAGATTCACTCATGCACTTATGCCACTCCCCTTGGTAGATGTTTGATCGTCATAGCCATAGCCAATCCACAAAATGTACAGTAACTACGCCCAAGCTCGTCCAAACTGCAATCTAGTGTTCATCTTTGGCATGCTTCCCTCATCAACAGGCCTTTTGCACCGAGCGGAGGATGCCATCTCGGCAATCAATCTCACCAAGCAGGAAGATCACAGGCGACTCGATGGGAATGATTGATAGCTTATCCCAGAAAGAAAACCTGAGATGGGGCGTCGCACAATGACACATGCTGTGACTGGAGAAATGTTCTGCTGCATGGGGGGCACCAAGGCAAACATGTTACATGCATGTACACACAGGGAAGCACATGGGGCATCATTCAGCCACACACGCAAACTATATATATATATATTCTTTTTTCTTGTGGTAAAAAAAATCGGTGATATGTCATACATGTATATATTTATATATATGTATATGCATATGTGACTATACGTGTGTGTGTATCACATCACATCACATCATACCATAGCATGACAAGATATGATGGCATGTGTATATATATATATATGTGTGTGTGTGGGCGTATATGTGTGTGTGTAAACTGCTATTTCAAGCAGCATTTAAGAAAGCAGGGGGCCATCCCTCTCATCATTGGTGGATGGCCAATGAAAAGGCCCTGCAGGCAGTTCCTGCGTGTGAGAAGACATACAGCCGGAATGCCACTAAAGCTAGGAACGCAACTGTTCCTCGCGGCTAATCAGGCCTACTCAGGAACAAAAAGGCGACGGCTCTGACATCGTTAGCCAGCTCCAACTCATCTAAAAACAAAGCAGTGCGCTGGTGCAGGACAGATCTTGCCGACACCGTCACAAGGGTTGGCCCTAGCTCAAGAATGGCTGCGGCCTATCCGCTGAAGTGTTTGGCGGCACCTCAGGGTGACCGTGAAGGAGAACCTGCCATATTATATGGCAGTGGAAGTAGCCCCATGGGCGAAGGACGACCAAGAGGGAATCAGGAGGACACCCTAGAGGGGAAGGACGATCTAGTGACACAGGACACCTGGAGGCCAAGGAGCTTTTATAGCGAAGGATGACTGACATGTTCCAAACACACAGATGTTGTCGCAATCTCAGATGGAAATGAAAGTTGCCAACATACACACACACTAGACAAGAACTGGATCATTATAGTGATCCGTCAGGAACTGAGTCCTGTAACGTGCAAACCAGCCTAGACCATTAGACATGTTTGCAGGTACACATCCATGGCCAGTGGATGCTTCCCTCTCTGGTGCATAGCTTCGTTGGACAGAGTAGCATCAGAGAGCTCGGTCCCCCTGCATTGTTATTATTATTAGAAAGGGAGAGGACAGAAGGAAGAAAAAGAGAGAAGTTTTACATCTATTCAGATGTTACACACGCACACCCGGCCGGAGCCGGGTCAACCCTGAAAGGCAAGAGGAAGAAAAAAGCGAAAACAGACGACGGGCAAAAGGCCAAAACAGCGCAGCGGGGGAGGGGAACAGACGGACCTCCAAAACCAACCTACACGGCGAAACGGACCTGACCAAAACAGTGCACACACTGTAAACCCCACGACGCATTACGGAGAGGCGCGCGGGGAATTAGGGACCAAATGGGAAACTAGTTGATGGCAAACAAGAAAAACCAAACAATTAGTTTAAAAATCAGAACTCAGTCCCTAAATACCTAGAGGTCGTGCGTTGTTCCCTGCCGGGACGGTAGTCAGGTCAGCCACAAGGGCATAAACAGCTGTTCAGATTCCAACGAATTAGATGCACAACATGTTTGACCTCACCGGGCAACCACAAAAAGCAAAAAAGGACCACACCTAAGGCCATGTACCTGCCTGATCTCTGTGTCGTGTAGTAATGCACATGTCACTTCACTCACTAAAGCTGCAGCGAAAAAACGAAATTTCTGATTGCTCCGAACGGCTTCACTCTGATAGACAGGCATTTCGGCGAGGAACCCTGGGACCAACGGACCAGCGGGACAACCCTAAAAGGCTGGAAAACGGTAAGGCCAGCTGTTTCGCTTTACTTAATCGAATTACCAAATTAAAATGTGTGAATTCGGAAGTCAGGACAGTCATCATTCACCCTGAAAAGGGTTGCCTCAAATGGCTCCATGGCACCATGTCGGAGCCACCATGGAAATCACACTAGACAAGAACTGGATCATTAGGATCATTATAGTGATCCGTCAGGAACTGAGTCCTGTAACGTGCAAACCAGCCTAGACCATTAGACATGTTTGCAGGTACACATCCATGGCCAGTGGATGCTTCCCTCTCTGGTGCATAGCTTCGTTGGACAGAGCAGCATCAGAGAGCTCGGTCCCCCTGCATTGTTATTATTATTAGAAAGGGAGAGGACAGAAGGAAGAAAAAGAGAGAAGTTTCACATCTATTCAGATGTTACACACGCACACCCGGCCGGAGCCGGGTCAACCCTGAAAGGCAAGAGGAAGAAAAAAGCGAAAACAGACGACGGGCAAAAGGCCAAAACAGCGCAGGGGGGGGAGGCGAACAGACGGACCTCCAAAACCAACCTACACGGCGAAACGGACCTGACCAAAACACAGCACACACCTGAACCCCACAACACATTACCGAGGGGCACGGGGGAAGAATTAGGGACCGAATGGGGGACTAGTTGGTGACGACAGTGAAACAACAAAGTTATTAAAGGGATTCAGTTCTGCTAATTTACAAGTTCGCGCGTTATTCCCTCAAAGGGACCGTGGTCAAGTCAAGCCACATGGGCATAAATAAACGGCTGTTCAAGTTCAAGCGAATTAGATGCACGAAATGTTTTACCTCACCAGACAACCATCAAGAGAAAAGATCACCACACCTGGAAAGCGTGTACCTGCCTTGCATGTTGTGAAATGTTTCAAAAGCTTGAGCAGCAGCAGACAAAAATGTTTCTGGTTGTTCGGTGCGGCTGCCAGTACACAGAAGGGCAGAATCACAGCGGTCTCCAGGGACAACAGGAACGGCAGGACATCATAAAAGGTGAAGAACGGAAAGGCCGACTGTTACACTTTACTTAGATGAATTACCAGATTAAAATGTGTGAATTCAGAAGTCAGGGCAGTCATCAGTCACCCTAAACAGGGTTGCCTCCAGTGGCTCCATGGCGCCATGTCGGAGCCACCATGGATATTACACTAGGCAAGAGTGGATCTTTTAAGAGATCCGATGGGAACTGAATCCCCTTCCGGTTCTTGGCTTAGCCGGTTGCCATGTCGGAAAAATGAAATCAAGACCCTAGAAATTCAAATTGAACTGATGCAAACACAGTACGGCGGTTAACAGAAACTGAAGTCAACAGTTCAACTTATCAAGAACAGGTACGTGATCGAGGCGTCCCTCAATCATATCCTGACGAATGGCTGGAGCTTCGTTGGATCAGGCCAGGCCAAACGTCCCTGATCCCCCCGCAATGTAGAAGGAGAGAAAAAAAGAAAAAGGAAATGTTTTACATCTATTCAGATGTTACACACACACACACACACACGCACCAAAGTCAAAACTGTGTGGAGATTTAGGGGCGAGTCATACCTTACTCTTTTCGGTTTCTGCTGATTAGCAAGGGGCTAAGCTGAGAACCCCGCAACATCACATGTAGCAGTTGGTTTTTCGCTCATTGAAATCTGCCATGTAATTTCTTTTTCAAATTTGGGCTCCTTGTGACGCACCTGAAAAGAAACACTTGCATGCATAGCGGTGTAAATCACTTATGTGTACATTTCAGACCTATTCAGTTGTATTTCGACACGTCGAGCGACTAAGCTTCAAACTCTAACGTGGGGTTTCGACTGGGTGAGTGGAAACGAAGTAAATCAGCCAGATGTGTTTTCGAGTGTACATGTCAGAGTTCTTGTTGTCACACGTTTCCATTGTTTGTCTGGAATTGTCACCAATACTAAACAATCCGATCATAATGATTCAGAATGCGCATCTGAAATTTCACTTTGCATGTCAGAAAACAACAGTGTAGTGCAAGGAAGGTGTTTCGCAGTTGGTCTTTTAGCGGTCTTGGATTCTCGTTTGGTCACCCGCTATGTCGACAACCACACCGGCATCACTTGTCATGACCGTTCCCAGTGAGCTCCCACAAGTACGGAAACCTTAGAATGTTGCCGTGCAAATACAAAACGTACGAAAAAGTTGCTTTCAGCAACTCTTGCCACCTTCAAGTATAAGTAGTCGTAGAGACTCAGAGAAGTGTGTGTTTGACAGTTTGAGATGAAACTTTGGTTCGAAAACGAAAACAGACGAAGAAGAGAGCGGGGGGAGTGGAAACGCAGTAAATCAGCCTTGGTGTTTTCGAGTTTGCATGTCAGAGTTGTTGTTTCACAATGATTCACTCCATGCGCAATGAACTTTCACTTTGCATGTCAGACTCAGATCAAGACAGCAATGTAGTACAGTGCAAAGAAGATATTTTGCAGTTGGTCTTTCAGCAGTCTTGGATTCTCGTTTGGTCACCCATTGCATCGACAACCGCACCGGCAACACTCACGATCGCTCCCAATGAGCGCCCACAAGTACGGAAACCTTAGAATATGGCTTTGCAAATACTAAACGGATTAAAACGCTGTTGCCAGCAACCCTTGCCACTTTCCAATAGTTGTAGAGAAGTGTGTTTGACAGTTTGACATGAAACTTCGGGTTCGAAGAAAGAAAACAAACGAAAACAAACGAAGAGAGTGGGGGAGTCGAAGCACAGTACATCAGCCTGATGTGTTTTTGAGTGTGCATGGCAAAATTTTTGCTGTCACACGTTTCCAATGTTTGCCTGAAATTGTCACCAATGCTAAGCAAGCTGATCATAATGATTCAGAACGCGCATGTGAAATTTCACTTTGCATGTCAGACTCAGACCAAAAACGTGTAGTATAGTGCAAAGATGATGTTTTATTCGTTTTATTGCAGTTGGTCTTTCAGCGGTCTTGGATTCTCGTTTGGTCACCCGTTACATCGACAACCACACCGGCAACACTTATGATCGTTCAGAATGAGCTCCGTACGGAAACCTTAGAATGTTGCTGTGCAATTACAAAGCGGATCAAAACGTTGCTGTCAGCAACTCTTGCCACACTCAAGTAGTCGTAGAGAAGTGTGTTTGACAGTCTGACATGAAACTTTGGGTTTGAAAACGAAAACCAACGAAGAGAGTGGGGGAAGTGAAAACGCAGTATTGTCACAAGTTTCCTTTGTTTGTCCGGAAATTTTCACCAATACCAAGCAAGCCGATCATAATGATTCAGAATGCGCATATGAAATTTCACTTTGCATGTCAGGCCAAACCAGTGTAGTTAAAAGAAAATGTTCTACAGTTGCCCTTTCAGCAGTCTTGGATTCTTGTTTGGTCACCTGTTACGGCGACAACCACACCGACATCACTTGTCATGACCGTTCCCAATGAGCTCCCAAGTATGGAAACCTTGGAAGAATGCTGCTGTGCAAATACAAAACGGATCAAAACGTTCCTTTCAGCAACTCTTGCCACTTCAAGCGGTTTTAGAGGAGCGTGTTTGACATGAAGGGTGTGCACAAAGTGGAAACGCAGTAAATCAGCCCGATGGGTGAAAAGGTTCCGGTGTTGAGCAAATTTACTACCCGGTGCGTTGCAGGGGTTTACATCTTAGCAAGAATTCTGTCCCCCAATCGCGGACTTGTGTGTGTGTGTGTAAATTGCTATTTCAGGCAATATTTATTAAGAAAGCAGGGGGCCATCCCTCTTATCATTGGTGGATAGCCAACGAAGAGTCCATTGATGCGAGCTGCAAACGTACCTGCAGGCAGTTCCTGGGTGTGAGAAGACATACAGCTGGAATGACACTAAAGATATGGACAGATGGAAAAGCAGAGGTGGGAAAGGAAGAAGATCAGAGAAGAAAAAGAGCCAGAAGAAAGAAAACGCAGGCGCGCGAAAAGGTAGAAAAGCCGCGAAAAAGTGCACGCCGTTGTGGTGCGAAGCACATTTCGAGGTTCAAATTGACGAAACGCTTCGAAGTTGAGCTGTTGACAAAGCGCACGCCGCTGTGGCGCGAAGCACATTTCGAAGTAAAAATGTGCAAAACGCCTCAATGTCGGATCACTTTTGGGAGTTGAGATGTTGAGAAAGTGCACCCCGTTGTGGCGCGAAGCACATGTCGAAGTCAAAAGTGTAAAAAAACTGGCGGTCTCGAAGCTTCTTGTGAAATTATCACTATATGTCAAGACAGTGCGCGCCGTTATGGGGCGCGAAGCACATTTTGATGTGAAAATATATGCAAAACACACCACCTTCGGAACACCCGTGGACGTTGGGATGTCGAAAAACTGCATGCCCTTGTCAGTGACAAGTGGCGCGAAGCAACTTTCGAAGACAAAATCTGAAAGACAAACCGCGTTCGGACCACTTTTGGACGTTCAACCGCACCACACTACACTTCACTACATGACGCTACACCACAACAACAACAACTACTACTCCTCCTACTATTCCTACTCCTCCTCCTACTCCTACTACTCCTACTACTCCTACTACTCCTACTACTCCTACTACCTCTACTCCTCCTCCTACTCCTCCTACTCCTCCTACTCCTCCTACTCCTACTACTCCTACTACTCCTACTACTCCTACTACTCCTACTACTCCTACGACCACCACCACCACTACCACAATAACTACTATGGCTACAACTACAACTACAGCTACTACTGCCACAACACTACAACTACAACTACAACCAAAACTACAGCTAGATCTAGAACTAGAACTACATCTCCACTACACTACATGACACTACAACTGCAACTACAACTCCAACTGCAACTGCAACTGCAACAACAACAACTGCAACTGCAACTACAGCTACAATACAACAACAACTACAACTACACCTACAATGACAACAAGTACAACTACACTACAACTACAGCGACAGCTACAACCACACCTACAGCTACAACTGCACCTACAATTACAACTACACCCACACTACAACTAAGAGAGAAACAACTACAACTACAACTACAGTACACCACACTACATCCAGCAGTTGCGGGCGAGGTGACCACTGCAACCACGCCAAAAAACACAACTCCAAATACCTTTCGGCCCATCAATGGATTCGCTCTGCCATCAGCGCATGGCAACAACTCACCTCTCCTATAGCTTCCTATATTTGAAACGTCCGCCACCGCCTTGTGCGGTACCACTGGTACCCTAAAAGCCTTTGATTTTCTGTGCGGCCGAGACTCATTGTGTAGAACCTGGAGTCTTCCCTGATCATGAGCCGGTGGATCATGTGACAGTTACGGGCCTATGTACAGTAATAAGACACTGGGAGGCTCTGTTCACAAGAGCCCTCGATCCATCTCATACAAAGCACTGCTAAGATCACTAAGCATCATTGTGTTCCTCCTTCGTTTTCTATCTTCCATGTCCTATATATATATATCGTAAGCACGATTTTCTGTAGCTTTCCATCTGGTTTTCCATCGCATCAACATCACAATTTCCCATCCATTTGTACAATAAGTATCTTTCATCTCTGTGTCGAGTTTCTCAGATTCTCCTCCCAAACGTGCTCAGCAAGCCCACACAAGTATCACAAGTCAACTGCTCCGGCGATGCCTAAGGTGCCAAATTTTGGCCCCCGTGATCAGGAGTGGTACAAGCATGAAGTGCTCGTCATCCTCAGGGCATCGAGATCTCAACAGCACTGATGTGGTTGAGTTCATGAATACAATTGAATACAAGATTTAACAAGATGCGCATCACTCAAAGTTGTAATGATGTCTGTAATGTAATCGAACGCAATGGAATGTTGTGTATTCTAATGTAGTGTAGTGTAAGAAAGTGAGTATGTAAGTAAGTAAGTAAGTAAGTAAGTAAGTAAGAAAGTAAGTAAGAAAGTAAGTAAGGAAGGAAAGAAGTAAGGAAGTAAGGATGTACGTACATACGTACGTACGTACGTATGTATGTATGTATACATGCATGTAGGGAGCAGTATGTAGCAGTATGTAGCAACATGTAGCAGTATGTAGCAGTATGTAGAAGTATGTAGCAGTATGTAGAAGCATAAAGCAGTATGCAAGCATGGGTGCGAGCATGGATGCATGGATGGATTCATGGATGCAAGGATGCATGGGTTTATGGATGCATGGACGGATGGATGGATGGATGTATGGATGGAGGGATGTATATGTGTGTATGGGTGGATGGATGGATGGATGGATGGACGGATGTACGTCTCGTTGTCTGCCTGTCTGTCAGTCTGTCAGTCTGTCTATGTATGTATGTATGTATGCATGTATGTATGTGCGTGGGTATGTGCGTATGTGCGCATGTGTGCATGAGTGTGTGTGTGTGTGTGTGTGAGTATGTGCGTGTGTGCGTATGTGTACATGTGTGCGTGTGTGTGAATGCATGTGTTAGTATGAATATGTGTATAATCATACACGATCGTGTGTGTGTGTCTTATTTGTGTGGGTGTGTGGGTGGGTGTGTATGCGTGCATGCGTATAACTATTCGGGAAATATGCCTAGACATATGCCGCATAAAAAAAATGCAATGTATAGACTTACCACTATAGGTATGCATTTATGTATGTATGTATCTATCAATCTTACAATTGCCTTTTGTCTGTCCAAGTATCTATGTACCTATCCATGTATTCATGCATCATGCATCTGTGTATCTATGCATGTATGTAATTGTATGTACATATGTGTGTATGTATGTATGTATATGTGTATGTTTATGTTTATGTGTACGTGTGTGTATGTGTGTCTGTATGTAGTTGTGTGTGTGCATGTGTGCCTGTACGTAATTGTGTGTATGTGTGTATGTGTGTATGTGTCAGTGCGTCTGTGTGTCTGTGTGTTTGTATGCATGCATGCATGCATGTATGTATGTATGTATGTGGGTGTGTAGGCATGTAGGTTTGTAGGTATGTAGGTACGTAGGTATGTAACCTCGGTATGTACGTAGGTATGTAGGATGTATGTAGGTATGTATGTCTGTGCATGTATAAGTATGAATGTATGAATGTGTATGTGTATGTATGTGTATGATGCGTACCACCCGCGGCCCAAAGTGTACCTGCCCCCCCTTATACATTATTAGCATTTGTGTATGGTCTGAACCGGGTTTCTCGTGCTTGGATGCATGTGCTAACAGCGACCAACACATCGACACCCTGCGGCCGGTACACCCCCAACACTTTCTCCTTCCTGCTGCTCCCAGTCCCAGGGTTTTCCCTGGCTGGCCCAGACTCGAAATGTTTGCTCAGGATCCAGAGGCAGATTCATGCATCGGAAACCGGAGAAAAAAAATTGTGTCATTCCGGGCACTAGGGCCAAACCACTCCAATATCCCTGTCTGTACGTAAGATTATTTGCCTAACCACTCCAATAATAACCATATCTATACCTTGCAACTGTCAACAAAACCTGGTGGGTCGAGTGATTCGTTTCACCATGTCCGGTCTGTGGCCTCTGACTTTCTCTTCGCGGTATATGCAATCACACGCCCCCCAGGATCCTGGCAAGATTTCTTCCCCCAGCCAAGCCGCGGCTCTCTGTTGCCTTTTTATGATTTCGTGGATTCTCATGATGAGCCAGCCAACTCTCATTTGAGCTGATGATGATGATGATGTTGCTGCTGATGATTCATGTTTTTTTTGTGCTTGTTGCAACTCAGCACCTTGTACGGAGTTTTCCAATCCAGCAGGACAGCTGGATCTGACGGCTCGGCTCCAAGACTAGTCCAACTCGATCGGGAGGACCGCAGGGGCCTTCGCATTCACCTTGGCTATAAGAACGGATAAACAAGTCATCAATGTCTGGAACACTTGGGTTCCCTCTTGGCAAACTTGGACCATATGACTCATATGTAGCCCCTGCATGCACAGAGATTCTGCGGGGCTGTGTGCCAGCCGGAGATCCGCTCCATTGCCATGGATCCTTCAGGGTTGCGATGCTCCTTGGCTCGCTGAATGTGGATGTGGCTCAAACATGCTCATAAAATCTCATAAAGAATCATAAAGTAGTGTGATGTAGCGCAGGATAGTGCAAGGCAACACCGACCCGAATGAAGGAGGTCGACGTGACCTCGACACAACCCAGTATACGCCAAGGGTCACTGGTCTGTCCGGTCGCGGCGCAAACTTGGGCACCCGAGTCTGCAACCCCAGGCGGACCTCCGTGTCGTATGCACGACGCCGCAGCGTGTCCGCCAGGACATCCCGAGCGAGCGTCAACTCGCCCCATCATCCGGCGCATGTCTTCAGTGCTATCTCCGCATCTTGTTCATGGCATTACTGAGCTATCACTGCCGTATGAAAGTGATTGTTATTGCATGAGACACGGGGTCTGCATGGATCTACGGGAGTAGCAGCTAGTCTTGGCCAGTTTCGGCCCCAACAGCTTCAACATGCTTCAGCCACAGACATAGACTGAGACGCCATGAAACTCCTAAACAAGGCACAGGGCGGAACTCAGCCGCATCGCCGCCCTTGTCTGGGTGCGCTTGGGCCGCATGTCGCCGGTACGCCTTCTCCTTGGCCAGGCCACATGGACATGGCACTGGTGTGGTTCGATGCAGGAAAACGCACGGACTTCTGGCTGATTTGTTCAATACGGAATGCGGTTTCCACTGGTTCATGGGCAATTTCACCCATTCCAGTTGATCCCATATGATCCCATTCTGAATCCAGGATGGTTCCTCGACATGCTTGTGATCGGACTGAGCTGGAATGTTAGTTAGTGGGGCTGAACTGGAACTGTAGTGGTGGATGGAGGATGAGTAGCTTTTTTTCTCACTACATGTGCCAATGGGGTGGAACATGCCATATCACTGCTGTGGTTCAATATCGGCACGGGACCGGTGCAGGCCCATGAAGAAACATGAGGAAACCCAATTGACATCAATTGACATTGGGGGCAGCATGCTGAAGAGAAGGAGGTGGAAATGATTGGAAATGTCTAGCACTTCTTAACTCCAACTCGCTTCCTATTCGCTTCCTCCTTCCCTGGCCGCCCGTAACCAATGCCAAGGATCGATGTCTCGAGCGGACGCATCCCCAGTCACACCCAACAGCACGTAGAAGGCCATGGCTAAACCAACACACGGCTGGGCAATGCTGTGCAGTGCTTTGACAGCTTATTAGTAACATTTGGTTGTTTGCATACCAAGATCACCCCAAATTGATTTCATTCCAGTGGCTGGTCATGAGTGGTCGGCTGTGGCACCTGATCCCGTCGGGAGAGCAGATGTTTGACGGCACCCTTCACGCACCTGTGTACTTTCTCTCGGAAGCGAATGCTTCTAGTGGTTCACCCCGGTGCTCGGGCCAATGGGATGTCAGTGGGTGTCAATCCACAGGTCTGAAAGATCTGAAACACTGGAGGAAGGATTCATTCGCCGACTTATTTTATGTCGCCCACCAGCAACGTTCACATGCCATGACGGACCTCATGACATGCACAGCATTGCACAGCGTGACTACGATGAGTAATTTTCCCCCTGTTAAATCGCAATATTTTCTGCTGGAATCACAATACTGTATACCTAGGGGGACGTACCCCCCCTGATATACATTCCTGGGTGGGAGCTATTGTGTATGTATGTGAATGTAGGTATATGTTTGTATATGTTTGTAAATGTATGTATATGTATGTATATGTATATGTATATGTATGTATCTGTATGTATCTGTATGTATATGAAAGTATATGTATGCACATGCATGTAAATGTATGTGTTTGAATGTATTTGTATCTAATTGTAAGTAGATGTATGTATTTGTATGTGTTTGTATGTATTATGTATGTCTAGGCTAGGTATGTATATGATTGTATATGTATATGTATCTGTTTGTATGTGTATTTAAATGAAAATGAATACGTATATCAAAGGTATATGTATATGTATATGTATTATTACATGTCTACGTATGTAAATGTAAATGTATGTATATGTACGAATATGTATGCATATTTATAAGTGAATGTATTTGTATGTATATGTATGTATCTGTATGTATTTGCATGCATATGTATGTATACGTATGTATATGTATGCATATGTATGCATATGTATGCATACGTGTATATATGTGTGTACATGTATGTACATGTATGTTTATGTATGTATATGTATGTATATGTCTGTGAATGTATGTTAATGTATTGATATGTACATATGTATGTGGCGGTTGATTTAAGCTCCTTTATCTGCAAACGGCCACTCTTCGCGAATGAAAAAATATTTTCGCGAACCCCACGTTTATCTTTCGCGGGGTTGCAGCTATCCGCATTTGTGCTGCTGAGACGCACTCGATCAGCATGCAAACAGTAACTGTGCGAGATGTCCGACAGACAGCCAAGGGCAAATGGAAGGCCATGCTGGGAAAATTCCACCAGGAAATAGCAGAGTTTCATTGTTTACCACGTTCCCTTGGCTTGCCGCTGCAAAGGTGCTGTGTGGGCTACTCGCTTCCATGGACACCTTCTCTTTCGCCACTGCTTTCGCGGAACTTTCGCAAAACTTTCGCAAAAAGTCCTTTGCAAATCAACCGAAAAATCCACACCCTGAATCGTGGTTGGGGGTTCAGCTCCATTTGATTACAATATAGTCAGTGCTTGGGTCTATTCTCTGCCTGCCAATAACAAATCAGAAAGCTCTCACTTCACCTGGGAAAATAAGAGATTAAACCGCTTAAGCCAACTCATCAAGATAAACTTGCGCCATTTCTTCGCCAAATAAAATTTTACTTTCGCGAACTCAGAAAAAATCACGGGGTCTTATTTTGCAACACTGACGGCCTTTGTAATTAACTAACAATCCCTACATGGACCTTGAGATCGACTCCCATATATATATATATATGTAAATGTATATGCATATGTAATATGTATATGTATATGTATTTGTATGTTTATGCCTACGGCCCGAAAACCGGCCCAGCATTTTTGTGTTTTTTTTTGCGTTGTGATATTTTTTGGGGGGTGGGGTGGGGGGGTGTAATGACGTCCTGTTTCTACGTTCTCATCGATCTTCTTCGGTAAACACACTTCATGCTACGTTCGACACTTCTCTTTTACTTCGGTAAGCACACTTCATGCTACGGTCTACACTTCTGTTGTGCTGCGGTAAGCACGCTTCATGCTACATTCTACTCTTCTGTTGTACTTCGGTAAACACACTTCATGCTACGGTCTACACTTCTGTTGTGCTGCGGTAAGCACGCTTCATGCTACATTCTACTCTTCTGTTGTACTTCGGTAAGCACGCTTCTTGCTACGTTCTACAGTTCTGTTGTACTTCGGTAAGCACGCTTCATGCTATTTTCTAAACTTCTGTTGTACTTCGGTAAGCACGCTTCATGCTACGTTCCACACTTCTGTTGTACTTCGGTAAGCACCCTTCATGCTACGTTCATCACTGCAAAGACGGTCCGCAAGTTGAAGTGATGGAAAAGAATCGCTGGCGCTGTGGCTTCAATTTGCCACATGTTTATATCATGGTGATGCCTTTTGGCACCTCATTTTCTTTGGGATTTATGAAAAAATCATTGTTTTACGGCAGTGGGAGTTAAAAATGCATGTTGAACACCCTCAAAAAAATGCAAATACCAAAGTTTTCACCAAGACGAACATCACCATGAACATGAACATTGATGAAAACGCTGGGCCGATTTCCGGGCCGTTTGGATGTTTATGCCTGCGGACCGAAAACCGTTCCCGTAAAACGCGCGTTTTTGAATATCGCGATTGTGGGTTGGGGTGGGGTGGGGGGGCATTTTAACGTTCCTTTTACTTCGTACATGATATATTGCCATGCTGCTAAGATCTCTGGGATCGTTTACTACGTGACATGTTGCTACGCTGCTGAAGTCTCTAGTGTGGGTTGGGGTGGGGTGGGGGGGCATGTTAACGTTCCTTGTACTTCTTACATGATATATTGCCATGCTGCTAAGATCTCTGGGATCGTTTACGACGTTACATGTTGCTACGCTGCTAAGATCTCTGGGATCGCTGACTACGTGACATGTTGCTACGCATGCGTTGCAGCGATGACGCTGAAAAGCCAAAAAACGCGCCCCAAGTTTTTCCAGGATTTCCAATCATCAAATCAGCACGGCATTGTGGTAAAATCACATTTTTTTTAAAAAAACATGCGTTTTATGGGAACGCTTTCCGGTCCGGCGGGATGTTTATGTATGTAAATGTATGCATATCTTCGTATATGTATGTGTATGTATGCAAATCTTTGTATATGTATGTATATGTATGTATGTGTATGTATGCGTATGTATTTGTATGTATTTGTATGTAATATGTATTGAAATGTATGTCCATGCATGTAATATGTATGTAAATGTATGTATATGCATGTGATATGTATGTATATGTTTGTAAATGTATGTATTTGTATGTATATGTCTGTTCATGTATATACATGTATATGTTTGTAAATGTATGTATTTGTATGTATATGTCTGTTCATGTATGTAAATATGTAAATGTATATGTACGTATGTGTATGTTAATGTATGTATATGTGTATGTGTATGTATGTATACGTATGTATATGTATGTATATGTCTCTACATGTATGTAAATGTATGTAAATGTATATGTATGTATCTGTCTGTCTGTATATGTATGTATATGTCTGTAAATGTATGTAGATGTAGATGTATTCATGTGATTGTATATGTATGTATATGCATGTATTTATATATATATGTATATTTGTATGTATGTGGCAAATTGTGACGGTTGATCTAAATTCCTTTATCTACAAACGGCCATTCTTCGCGAACAAACAATTACTTTCGTGAATCTTTCGCGGTCCCAACGTTTATCTTTCGTGGGGGTCTCATGTTGAAATCGTTCACTAGATCTTCGCGAACTCAGGAAAAAACTTTGGGGGGGTCTCACGTTGAAACCCTGGCGGCTGGATAGTCTCTACATGGACCTTTAGATTGACAATCATGTATGAATATGTGTGTGTGTGCGTGTATGTGCCATAATGCTTGTATGAATATGTGTGTGCAAGTCCGGTACCCATTTAAGATCTGTTTATAAGTATACATATGAATATATGAATGTGTGAGTGTACCTATAGGGATTCACAATGTGGTTCATTGCCATAGCCAGAGTTGTTGCTACCTACATGTCTGGTCTGAACCAAGAATATTGATGCATGCGGGCACCGTTGAAGAGAAAATAGGTGGCAACAATATGGCAACAATTAAACTGCACAAACTGATACAAAATGTGATGAATATCCACATCGCATGCACTTTGTCAGCTACAGTACCACCTTTACCAAGCATCAAATTCCAGAAATTGCCAAGCGAATGAAAGGACGTGAGAATCTCCAACTATGAACCTTAGTTCAACGGGGATGCGAAATGGTCTGCATCACTCAGGACACCGATGCGAGCAAAACTATGCAAAACTCATGAGTTGGAGCGCCCTGGTGCCGAATCAGGTCCGTTTCGAAACCAAGGGTAGCAGACTTGGATGAGTAATGGCAGCGGCTAGTCGGAGCTGATAGCGAAATCGTTGCTGCTTAGTTACATGGGTTTGAAAGATGCAGGCGCCTTCGGAATTGGTGCTTTACTTTCTTGCATCAAGATGTCCTGCAGAGCGCACATTCACTCTCTCTCTCTCTCTCTCTCCTCTCTCTGCCTCAAACCTATTTGTTGTGAGATTGACTAAGAGACTCGGTGTTATGCGGGAGAAATTCTTACATGTTTGACCTGATAGGTCTGAACACACCCATAAATTCTCAGAACAATGCCTCTGCCTATGTCTGCCTGCTTCCAAATCTCTAATTCCTTGTCACTGCCCCACCTGCATGCCCTGCCATCCTCTGCCATGCCATGCCCCAAACCCACCGGAGCGTCCTTGATGCAGCTGAAGTAGGCATTCTCATTGCGCACAGAGGTCATGTGCAGCTCATGGCCCTCCAGTTGCCAAGGGCGTTCCGGAGTTTGAATGCCCACTCTGATGCTCTTACAGAAACATCAAATACATCAAGTAGTTATAGTTGGAGGCAAGGAATTTAAATTGCCGTGATGACTCTACAGCTGCGGCTACCGCACAATCCTCAAGATCCTCAAGATCCTCAAGATCCTCAAGATCCTCCAGGCTAGTTAGCTAGTTACGGCTACTTGTAGAGCGGTGGTCAAAACACACATTCTTGGGACCACCCCTCCAGATTGAATATGTTGCTGCAGAACCCAGCCTTGCAGCACCTCTCTAGCCTCAGCACTGCAAATAGCTTCGGAGATGTTTGGCAAACAAAAGAACTGATACTTCATATCAAAGTGTTTGGCCGTAACATGCCGTAACCAACACATTTGGTTGGAGGATAAAGGGATCCTGATGATAATGAATGAAACAGCGTCATAAATTCAAACCTCTTTGCTTCAGCACCTACTTTGTCTCTCTTGGATTGCTGCCGGTGACCCCCAATGGCTACCAATGGCTTATCATAGTTTCTCCGGTACTCCACCGATTCTCGACCTACTGTTCCCACATTGTCACATGGCACACACCATGAAGATTTATGACCATCGATGAAACATGAAGCCATGGAATGCCATGGAATGCCATGGATTGCCATGGAATGCCATGGCACATGGCACACAGCCTTCGCAGAATCTGCCAATGTCGCTGCGCCCCGCTCAACATGGTTGAGTCCAAGTAGTCCGTGTCGCTGCGGCGCCTCCATGAATCCTGCCATCTGCCAAGGAAAAATTGCCACGAACCAAGCAAAGTGAGGCAAGATATGGCGAGGTATGGCAAGATGCCCGAGGCAAGAATGACAAACAATGACAAACATCCTCCATCAGAGACAATACTCCGGGACCAACAATGTGCGATTCAATCTCCATTGTTCGCAAACGCCTCAGTACCACGGCCGAAAGCACCTTTATCATGGAACCACTTTTGAATTAAAGTTAAGATTAAAGGACCGGATAACCCCACAAATCAATTTTTCTTCTAATAATCAGAAAAAGTGGTTGAAGCAGCATGGAAAAAGCAGAAAGAACAATGGAGATGGTGGAGGATCAATAATTTTAAACAATTGTATGTGAAGGGTTGTGTGACAAAGTTGTGTGTGAAAGATTGCCTGTGACAAAGTTGTGTTTGAAAGAGTTGTGTGTGAAAGATTGTATATCACAAAAATTGTATGTGACAAAGTTGTGTGTGACGAAGTACGAGTAGTTGTGTGAAAGATTGTCTGTGACAAAGCTGTGTGTGAAAGTGTTGAGTTGTGTGTGACAAATTTGTTTGTGACAAAGTTGTGTGTGACAAAGTTGTGTGTGAGAAAGTTGTCTGTGACAAAGTTGCGTGTGAAAGAACTGTGAGTGACAAAGTTGTGTGTGTGACAAAATTGTGTGTGACAAAGATGGCAAAGTTGCATGTGGAAGAGACGTGTGTGAAACATTGTGTGTGACAAAGTTGTGGGTGACAAAGTTGTCGTGTGTGAGGGAGATGTGTGTGAAAAAGTTGTGTGCGAAAGAGTTGTGTGTGACAAAGTTGCGTGCGATAAAGTTGCATGTGAGAGATCTAGAGATATATGTGAAAGATTACGCGTGACCATGTTGTGTGTGACAAAGTCGTACTTTAGAGAGATGGATTCACTTGCTGCCTGGATGTCACCAAGCGCCATGCCTGCCACGCAAACAGCTGCGGCGACCACGGCGCCAAACGGGAACCAAGCGCGCCACCAGACCCAGTCCAGTGCCATACAGTAAGTGCCACACCTGCCACGCAAAGTGACGATCCATGTCGCCAAGTGCCACGCCTGCCACGCAAAGTGACTGTCGATGTCGCCAAGTGCCACGCCTGCCACGCAAGCGGCCGCGGCGACCACGGCGCCAAACGGGGCCCAAGCGCCACCAGAGTCAGCCACGCCTGCCACGCAAAGTGACGATCCATGTCGCCAAGTGCCACGCTTGCCACGCAGAGTGAAGGTCGATGTCGCCAAGCGCCACGCCTGCCACGCAAACAGCCGCGGCGACCACGGCGCCAAACGAGAACCAAGCGCGCCACCAGAGGCAACCCAGTGCCAATAAGTGCCACGCCTGCCACGCAAAGGGCACGTCCATGTCGCCCAGTGCCACGCCTGCCACACAAAGTGACGGTCGATGTCGCCAAGTGCCATGCAAAGTGCAGGTCCATGTCGCCAATCGCCACGCCTGCCATGCAAAGTGAAGGTCGATATCGCCAAGTGCGCGGCGACAACGGCGTCAACTTGTAACCAAGCGGGCCACCAGAGCCAGCCCAGCGTCATAAGTGCCACGCCTGCCACGTTGTGTGTGAGTAAGTTGTATGTGGACAAGTCGTTTGTGGACAAGTTAGGTGTGAGTAAGTTGTTGTGTGTGAGGAAGTTGTGTGTGAGTCGATTGTGAGTAAGTTGTGTGTGTGTGAGTAAGTTGTGTGTGGACAAGTCGTTTGTGGACAAGTTAGGTGTGAGTAAGTTGTTGTGTGTGAGTAAGTTGTGTGTGTGTCATGTGTGAGTCGTGTGAGTAAGTTGTGTGTGTGAGTCGCGTGTGAGTAATCGTGTGTGAGTAATCTGTGTGTGTGAGTTGTGTGTCTGGACAAGTCGTTTGTGAACAAGTTAGGTGTGAGTAAGTTGTTGTGCGTGAGTAAGTTGTGTGTGAGGAAGTTGTGTGTGTGTGAGTCATGTGTGAGTAAGTCGTGTGTTTGTGTGTGTGTGTGTGTCGTGTGTCGTGTGTGAGGAAGTCGTGTGTGAGTCATCTGTGTGAGTCATCTGTGTGTGTGAGTAAGTTGTGTGTGAGTAAGTTGTGTGTGAGTAAGATGTGTGTGAGTAAGTTGTGTGTGAGTAAGTTGTGCGTAAGTTGTGTGTAAGTAAGTAGTTGTGTGAGGAAGTTGTGTGTGAGTCGTGTGTGAGTAAGTTGTGTGTAGCTAAGTTGTGTGTGGGTAAGTTGTGTGTAAGTTGTGTGTAAGTTGTGTGTAAGTAAGTTGTGTGTGAGTTGTGTGTGAGTAAGTGCTGTGTAATTGTGTGAGAGGAGGCGGCGGGAGGAGCAGTGGCGGGAGGAGCAAGCGCGGGAGTGCCCAACTAAAAACAAGAACACCACACAAAGATGTGGGGGAAAAAACTTGGCTGTTCGGAATGCCAATGAAGGCCTCTGGTGAATTGCAGTAGGATCGGCGGAGCTACAGAAAGCTGTTTGAAATTCTGGAAGGCCCGGAAAGAATCGGAAAGGTAAGTCCTTCAATGACTCGTTCTAGACCCTGGGATTGCCCTCGCCACGCTCCAATTCATGCTGAGGAACTTCAACCAATTGGGATCGTTCTTGCTTTCGAACAGCCGAGGCTGCGCCAGGAAAAGCAGCTTGAAAATTGATAGTCCAATGGCCAAAGCATCCTAGAGCGGCATACTGAATATTGATGAACGTGGCGTAACTTGGAATCTATGGAAATCTGGCGCTGATCGACATCCGTCCCACAAGACAATGCATCCTGGGAATGCTTGCTTAGGCGCGTGAAACTCATTCGCAGCGTCAAAGTCTTTTATGTCAAAGATCTTTGCATCGTCGTTTACCCTTAGTTTACGGATGCTTCAGGACTATGATGGAGAACACATGCGACTGAAATGAGCATGAACACTGGACATCTTTGGACCATATACGAAATGCTTGCAAAGTTGGGCACTGAAGAAATTCGAAAGTGAGATGTGGCACTTAAAGCGCCTCTGACTTTCCGTGAGGTCCAACTCAAGCAGGCAGAAGTCTATTGGGCTGGGTCATTCCTTTGTCTCATTATCTCTCATTTATATATCATGCTCATGCAATGCTCATTTATACAGCATATTTGGAGATATTGGGAGTTGATTGTTTGATCAGTCGGGGCAAGGCCCAAAAAACACCAGCTTCTTTCAGCACCCGTAAAAAAGTCACCAAGGTGTCCAAGGGGCTCAAGGCGCTATTCTCATCCCAACAACCATAACAACATTAACAACCCAGAGAGCAGGTCAGTCTGGTGCTCGATTTCCAAGGCACGCCTTGCCATCCAAAGCTGCCAGAAATGATCCGAACAGTTGTGGTTTCTGCGCCAGAAAGCGCTTGCCCCACGCCAGAGCGCGCAAGTCATCCCGGCGCAAGGTATAGGTGTGCCTTAGCATAGTCAAACAAAGATCAAGCAGGAAGGAATGCTTTTAAAATCCTTTAACCTCTTTTTTGAAACGCTGAACACGCTGAGCCGGCAATACCATGATGTTACGCTGGTCAATATTTTACTCAGATTGATCATGGTCATGGTTCATTCACTGTTCAACATGTGATACTATTCAAATTCGGTTGCCAAATGCAGGCTAAGGTGCATTAGGTTTAGAGATAAGGATGCATGATCAGGAGCCATCATCACCGAACGCTGATATAGGCGGCAGGCCTGCCGCAGCTGTTTATCATCTTCTTGGAAGCTTTGCTTTGAACTGAAGTGATCACAAAATTTCACTAGATAATCTAGACACATCATAACTGCTCATGAAGTCTCTCATCGTGGCCTCCAAAATGTCGCCACGCTCTTTCATGATGAGGCCAATCTGATAGTAGGAGTTCATTCTGATATGGCAAAGTCGAGACATGTTATGAACGTCAAAAAACACGCTGAGAAAGAGAAATGCGCTTATCCAGACAGTTTGCTTCGATTTTCAGATATCTTCAGCAATGCAGTTTGCTCTCAACGCTGCTCGTTTTTTGTGGGCTGGCTAATTACTGTATATGTAGGTCACGATTGTCACGATGGTCACGATTGTGATTTCTTTCTGTTTTATCTTTCAAAAATGGCCTATTGCACTGGATCATGTCAACTGAGGAGAAATCAATTTGCATCGTAAAATAGGGACTTGATGGGGCTGGATGGGAAAGGCAAAGAGTCCAAGTGGCAAAGCCAACAACTTCAGCCACCGAGCGCTCCTTGGTGCTTCATTGGCTATGGGTTTAGTGGATGCAGGAACCACCATGAACGACATGGTTTCGCTATGGTGAGCAAGTCGCGTTGTTGCAAAGCCACCAATGCCACTGGCATCAATTGTCTGACAAATATCCAAGTCCAGACTTGGCACAGCAAAACGGGAATGATTGAAATCATCGTTGGAGACCTTGATTTCAGGTGTATTAAACGCAGAGTTATGCGGACTTTGCTGATATAATCAATCTGATACATCCCGACACGCCCCACATCTCTGTCTGACAAGGATCAGAAACCCCTTCCTTCATCGTGGGCGATATTACATGGACCAGTTCCTGCGAAAACGAGTTGCGGGTCTTCAGTGCAGTTGTCTGCGACATCTCTTACGGATGTGCTCGGGTCTGTGCTCAAGATGACCGCAAGACTTGCTCCAATAGGTTCTCCCACGGTCGAGTCATGGCACTTACAGGAGCAAAGTCAATTACTTGAAAATGCTTCGGACATCTTTAGACGGCTCAGGCACGCAAAAGAAAATCCTCGACTATATATTCTTGATCATTCTTCGTTGATATCAGCATCGTGGTGTTGACACGCTATATTGCACGGACACTCATGTCACAATGTCTGCCAGTAGATTTATTATAGATGCAACCAGCCTATACATTGGATATGGTATGCATTATTTTGGTGTATATCAACCGGGCAAATTTTGGCCTCAACGTGCTTGTGCCTAAAGTCAAACCAAAACAGCATAGGCACACACTTTTGAATCTGGAACAGCACTGGTATTTGGGCATTACCTGTTTGCATCTCCCGTCCTCCGCGGAACAATGGCGCATAACGCCGCACACCAAACTGGGCAAGTTGATGGTGCATCAACTCCTCTTTTATGGAAGTGGGTAATTTTCTCTCGGAACCCTCTGGGATAGCAGATATTAGTATATTGTGTTTGGTTGTTGCATTACAAGTATCATTTTTTGACTGACTTTCAGTGACTGTCATCATCATAGCGCCAAATTATACATATTATACCAAATTATATATATATAATTATACGTATATATATATATCATTATGCCATTGCATTTCAACCTTAAGCCCTTTACGGAATAGGCACCATTTACGTGTGAGAGCCTATCCAGGCAGCATAATGTACGGCAATGTGGTGCCTGGCTACGCTTGGAGGTGGGGGTGACTCCGGGCATCATATCTTGGCCGAGGGGCTCACTGGCCATGGCTGAAGTCGCACGATGCTCCACCAAACAACGCACCATCACCGCCAGGGCAACAGCTGCATCCCCCCTTTCCTCGGCTCTGACATTGTCCAGGGATGCTCGACGTGGAGCGCTGAATCGAGGAGGCGAAATAAGACGTGAGAAGAAATGGGCATTCTGAACTGCTTTCCTCACTGCTCTGATACCAATTGCATGATCTGAACCCAAATAGAGCGTGGAACAAAGGCAGTAATCTTCATTGACAAGGATGACAGAAGAATCCGTATTCCACCAATTCTCGCAATACGCACCCGATCCAGTGTTCCGCTTTAGAACCCCGTTTCCAACCGTTCTATATAATTGTTCTAACCGCTCCAACCGTGCTAACTGTTCTAACTGTTCGAACCGTTCTAATTGCTCTAGCTGTTCTAACCGTTCCAACCTATCAATCCTTAGTCACCAGCTGTCACTTGCTGGCCAGGGACCATGAGAACGGCACAAGCCACTTCGCAGGCACCCAGTTCAGTCGGACAGCTTTCCTCAGGTGCCCCTTGCACGACAAGGAAGATAAGGAAGGTTAGAATCCGAGAAAGTTTGTTTGGAGTGAAATCAGAAAATCCCCAATCGATCTCAATACTGATGTTGTCAATCAAATATTCTTCAATAAACTTGCAACACCCTGCAACTTTCCAAGCAAGATTTGACGGGCAGCCTTCGTCGAGTCTATGAAGTTGATTGAAACATATTGAAACATATTGAAACATATTGAAACTCCATGAGGAGAAGCAGTCCGAGCAAGAGAGAGGGTGAAGATCCTGGCTGAAACCAGCTCCACCGTCTCCAACTTAGCTGCAGCATGCTATCTTTTTGCCATCTTTTTGCCCGTGCCGGACAAGTTATGACAAGTCTCCATGAGCTGCTCTGCCAGGGAGGTGGCAGCTTTCCGCCGTCCTGCATGCCACCTGGCGAAAGATGGATGGCTCAACAATTGCCAGAATCTCATGAACCTCAAAATGAACATATCTTCAGGAACAATCAGGAACATACAGCTTCATCGATCAGACTGAAGCTCCCCTTAGGGGATCTAGACTTTGAATGACTTTGAAACAAACAGTCTCAGAAAACCCACCAAGAAAAGCAGCGCGCCTTGCGCGTGCAAGACGACCCAGCACAACATTCTGCTCGGGCTGCGGGCCCCAACCTTCCTGTGAGTGAGGCGATTGCCGAGCATTCTGCCACACATCTATCCTGATCTCTCAACCTCTAGGGCACATGGCGCATACAATTTGAGATCATTTCAATTCCTTTAAAGCATCCAACATGAAGGCGCCAACATCTCCATCCCTTTAAAAAGTGAGTTGTTTCAGCTCTGAAACCGACTCAGGTCGCCTCTGGAGATAGCTTGGCAGCTGGCAACAAAGGCACTAGAGCTTCCAACTCGTCACACCTGGGGGTTCAGTCTGCGGAAAGATAGACCACAGCCATCCACAGCCATTCACAGCCATCCACAGCTCCAAGTTCTGTGCCAGGTAAATATGATTACAGCATGCGCACATATTTGCACTACCGATCCTGAATCTTTGATTCTGCGGTTGCAGGAATACAACAGGTATCCCTAATATCTCAAAGATATTCAAATAATTTCAAATATGTTAAAGATCGATATATCTTTTACCTGTAGTACCGCACAAGGCGGTGGCGGAAGTTTCAAAAATAGGAAACCTATAGGAGAGGTTGGTTGTTGTGAATCAGAGATGGCAGAGCGAAGCCACTGATGGACCGAAAGGTGCTTGAGGTCTCCTCTCTTTCTCTCTCTTTCTCTGACTATCTACTTACCTACCAGCCTATCTTCTATGTATCTATCTATCTATCGATCTATCTATCTCTCCCTTTCTCTCTTTCATCTCATTACCTATCTACCTATCTACCTATCTACCTATCTAATCTATCTATCTGTCTATCTATCTGTCTATCTATCGATCTATCTATCTATCTATCAATCTATCTCTCTATCTATCTATCTGTCTGTCTGTCTATCTATCTATCTATGTATCTATCTATCTCTCCATGTATCTATCTATCTGTTTGTCTGTCTGTCTGTCTACCTGTCTATCTATCGTGCAGTGTCATCCAGTCTAATGTAGTGTAGTGTACTGTAGTGTAGTGGAGTGGAGTTTAGTTGTAGTTGTAGTTGTAGTGTAGTTGAGTATAGTGTAGTGTAATGTAGTGAAATGTAGTGGAAGGTAGTGTAGTGTAGTAGTGTAGTGTAGTAGTGTAGTGTAATGTAGTGTAGTGTAGTGTCATGTACTGTAGTGTAGTGTAATTTAGTGCCGTGGAGTGTAGTGGAATGTAGTTGGGTAGTTGTAGTGTAGTGTCGTGGGATGTAGTGTACTGTAATGTTGTGTCGTGGTGTGTAGTGGAGTGTAGTGGAGTGTAGTTGTGTAGGTGTAGTTGTAGTGTTGTGGAGTGTAGTGTAGTGTAATGTAGTGAAGTGTAGTGGGAGTAGTGTAGTGTAGTGTAATGTAGTGAAGTGGAGTGTAGTGTAATGTAATGTAGCGTAGTGTAGTTGACTGTAATTGAGTGCAGTGTAATGTAGTGTAGTGGAGTGTAGTTGTGTAGTTGCAGTTGCAGTTGTAGTGTAGTGGAGTGTAGTGTAGTGTAATGTAGTGAAGTGTAGTGGAAGGTAGTGTAATGTAGCGCAGTGGTGTCTATCTGCCTCCCTGTCTATCTATCTATCTATCTGTCCATCTATCTATCTATCTATCGATCTATCTATCTATCTCTCTATCTCTCTATCTCTCTGTCTATCTATCTATCTCTCTTTGTATCTATCTATCTCTCCATCTATCGATCTATGTATCTATCGATGTATCTATCTATCTATCTATCTATCTATCTGTCTGTCTGTCTGTCTGTCTATCGATCTGTCTGTCTTTCTGTCTGTCTATCTGTCTAGCCATCTATCTATCTATCTCATCTACCCAGCTGGCCTCTCTCTCTCTCTTTCATCTAATTACCTATCTATCTATCTATCTACCTACCTGTCTATCTATCTCTCCCTTTCATCTGTCTATCTGTCTAGCTGTCTACCTGTCTATCTGTGTTGCAGTGTCATTCAATGTAATGTAGTGTGGTGTAGTGTAATTTAATGTAGCGGAGTGTACTGGAGTGTAATGTAGTGTAATGTAGTGTACTGGAGTGTAGTGTAGTGTAATGTCCTGTAGTGTATTGAAGCGAAGCGACACCTCCAAAAGTGGTCCGAACCCCTGGTGTTTTTAACATTTTGACTTCGAAATGTCCTTCACGCCACAACGGCGTGCAATTTTTCGACATCCGAACCTCCAAAAGTGGCGCGAACATGTGGTGCTTTGTACATTTTGACTTGGAAATGTGCTTCGCGCCACAACGGCGTGCACTTTTTCGACATCTGAACTTCCAAAAGTGGTCCGAACCTGGTGTGTTTTGTACATTTTGACTTGAAAATCTGCTTCGCGCCACAACGGCGTGCAATTTTTCATCACTCATCTGGCCAGCTGGCTCCGCACCCGCCGCTTTAGCGAGCCTACTTTTCGACCCCCCGGAGCCACAAACCATTGGAAAAACACAATGTTTCGCGACTTTCCTACCTTTTCGCGCATCTCCATCTTCTTTCCTTCTGATCTTTCTCTTCTCTCTGCCTCTTCCCTGCTCTGCTTTTCATCTGTCCATATTGTCGGAAGTTTGACTTCTAAACTTCCTTCGATAAACAAAAATATTGGAAGAACGGATGAGGAGAAACACATGTCCGAAACATCAGCCATGGCAAAGATTAAGGGCCGAGGTCGCCAAGTCACGCAGCGTCCCAATCTTTGCTGCGCTCATAAGCAGCAGCTCGGAGGGAAAGTGCTTCGACACGTCCCGGACCCTGGCAGAAAGAACGTTAGCGGAAGCATTTGCTATGCATTTGCTCTCAGCATCTCCAAGCTCATGATGGGAGTTTACATGTGTTTCACAAGTTCTGAGAGGGCGGGCAAATACAAGAATACGTGATGCATGCTGGCTGGAGGAAGCCAGATGAAGCCAGTTTGCCAAATCGGAATTGCAATACATATGCCTGAGTTCTCATACAAAATCAATCGAGATTTCACGACTTTGCGCAACCATTCACATTCAGATTGCCCAACCGACCATGCAGATTTTCCAGTCTGGCACCAGTCAGTTAGACCATGTATTCAAGCTTGATCACTCTGCCGCGTGCCTTCTTCACAACGCTTGGGTGGACCTCCACAGAGATCAGCGCTTGAAAATGTTTGATTTCTCAAGTCTACCATGTCATGAGATGTCATGAGCATCTATAGGATGAGTATAGTTTCAACGTGACATCCATTTGTCCATGGCCGTGAAAAGACATGAAATGTCACACGTTTCAATTCAACATGTACATTCAACATGTACATCCCATGAACGAGACTGCACAGCCATGCCCAGAAAACCCGCGGCAGATTTATCAAGCTACATGAAGCTGCATATCTGAAAACAAAGACCGACACCTTGCTGAAAAGCTTCAGCACGTTCTCGTACTCTACGTTGTGCAGCTCCTTAGGTTACACACCAAAGCATATAGTAGGCATATAGTCATTGAGATCATTGAGATTCATTGAGTCATTCATTGCATGAATAAGTACTGTATCTCAAAAAGTACTAGTACATGCAAGTACCATGTAAGCCTGGCCGGGCTGTACTACAGGACTGTCATTCCACTTCAATCTTATGATATCTTATGACAAGTTATGATGAGTTAAACTCACAAGAACACACAAAGGCTCAAAATGGAATCAAATACCTGAGGAAAATGAGCCAGAAAATATAGTAATACAATTGCACGATTCGGAGATGGAACTGGTAAGAAAAGAGAAACTCATTCAAAAGCAAAGCCACAAAGCACATCATAATACAATAGTCTTTTTATTGCCACTATATAAATGTTCCAAGGCTCGATACGTCCGATGCACAGCACTGCTTGTGCAAGATTCGGGGAGAGTCTCAACACCTTGCCATGCGTGTCGCGGGGCCAAAACAAATGCAGGCTGTCAGGCAATGTCCATGGGGTAATGTAATGGGGCAGAACCATAGCATACCATGATGAACCAGAGGATTCTTGCAACTCGGATGGTGCATTGCAGTTTGCATCTGTCATTGTCATTCGGCTCAGGCGCTCGAAGCAGCATGACAAAATATGACAATCGAGCGACACCGTGATGTTAAAGTTTGCATTTTACACTTCGAGCGCTTGTGAAACCAGAGGTTGTTTTGTCGCCCAGTAAATCCCGGTCCATGCGCCTGACCGCAAAGCACCTTGGCAGTCTTGAGCTGTCCATCTTCCTCCTCACGTCTCGCGCGCAGAAGCAGCCCAAGAGTCTCCCCTCCTGGGGCGCGTCATTCAGTGTTGCAAATGGTTGCAGGTATGGTGCGCAGCAAACCCACTCGTAGCTCAAATTCTCTCTAAGACCTCTAAGACGATGTCACATGGATAAATGCCAGATTGATAATAAACCAGCACATATAAATTGGATTGTCACTTTCAACTGTGATGGCAATCTGACACTTTATTCAGTATTCAGTATATCACTCAATATCAATTCACATATTAATACATATTGGAGTGCAGTATCAATAATACATCCGCGCAAAAAGGACGCATACATATATATATATGTGTGTGTACATTATATTGACTTATATTGTATATAATAATATAATTTTATATGTGTAATTAATATATAACAAGGAAGATAAACGGACATCCAAGACTATCACTTGCAATGTGGAGGTTCCTGCAGTCACGAAGGAACTGATCCCTTCTGATCTGCCCACAGTTTTTCAATATGTTCAACTCAAGCAGCATGCTTGCATCTACCAACCATGTTTCGATCACGTTTCGATCATTTTCGATCATGCTTCGTTGCATGTTGTTGCATTTTGTCACATTTTGTTTCAATTGCCACGAGACTGGGAGCTGAAGGAGCTGCCTGCAACAAACACAGAGGGGCACTGTGGGAGTGGCTCGAGGATTTGCTTGTTTTCTTGTCGCGGTCAGGGTAAGTCCAAAATTTAACACCGACACAGAGGCACAGAGCGGAACCCTCAAGCCATGTATCCCCCATAACTTCATTCCACACAATCCTGCACAAGAATTCCAAGCTTAACACAAACACACTTGATTTCAATGGCAAAGGAATGCAAAGAATGTTTTGATCATGATATTATGATCATGTTGGATATGGGAATTTCGTAGAATTTCTCTCGATTGCTGTCTGGTGATGTCTGTTGATGTGCCGTGATGTGCCGTGATGTGCCTCGGCTTCTGGCTGCTTCTTTTTATTTGGCTGCGTCGGCTGCGTCGGCTGCGTCTGCCTAGGTGAAGGCGCCACCTTTTTGGCTGCCTGGCTGGGACCGGATGCTGTGGCGCAGCATTGAAACTCTTGGCATGCTTAACATTGTTTAACTGCAATTGTATGATATCATGATTACACTAATTTGATAGTGTATGTAATTTCATACATGTGTGTGTATAATATGTTGTAATTCTGTGTGTTTATATGTGAGCCTGATTGATTTTTTGTGACATTTCTGGTTGGATGACTGGAGAGTCTGTGTGGCTTCGTGATTGAGATTGCCATAGATTGCCTGAGGGCACCAGAGTCAACTTGTTCTATAGTCAGGCCCATAGAACAAATATATAGACAAATTGGTAAAGTATGGTTTGAAGATGTTTGGATATGGTAAAGTACAAATCTATTTGATCATATTTGGTCTCAAGACTTCCAATATGGAAACCCTGAGCTTGTCAGCCGATAGCTCTTCGCTCAGTCCCACCAGCACTTCACTACCGGCCCCAAGGATTTCCCGCCTCAGCCGCCATGGGAGCCGCCACCTGGAAGTCAATTTTGGGGAGAATTTGCATGTGTAGAGTGATCATTGATCATCCCTAGTGATCCTAGTGTCTGGCCCTAGAGAGTAATTTTCAGTACTTACCAGATGTTCTTTTCACTCACTGTGTCGCTTGCTTCCGAGGGTGATGCTGTTTGTAGTTCTGGCTGTCGGCATGCATGATCAGACGGACACATGAACAATATGAGCAATACATCCAATGCATAAAGACACATGACTCAATATATGCATATAATAATATACATAGCGTATCTTTTATTCTGCGTAGTACATAGCAATATTGGGCCGTGCCGCTTCACATGATTTTTCCATATTTTTCCCGTGCATCCACCTGACATTGTCCTGACATCTGACACCAAACTACGGGCCTTGGCTTTGGGATAGCCAAATCCTGACAGCGATGACGGGAGACGGGTCAGCATGGGTCGGCCATGTCCCAAGAGTCGACCTATCAGGTCACCAGTTTGTGCTACACCGTGAAGATACAAAGGGTGTCCCGTGTGTATGTCCGCATATGTCCGCGCACGGTGCACACCATGCCACATCATGCACGATTCACATATGAATCATATGAAGTCTGCCAGTAGTACCGCGCAAGGCGGTGGCGGAAGTTTCAAAAATAGGAAACCTATAGGAGAGGTTGGTTGTTGTGAGTCACGGATGGCAAAGCGAAGCCACTGATGGACCGAAAGGTGGTTGGAGTGTTTTCTGGCGTGGCTGCGATGGTTGCAGTTGTCACCTTACCACAGCTGCTGGATGCAGTAAGGTGTAGTGCAGGTGTAGTTGCAGCTGTAGCTGTAGTTGTGGTGTAGTGTAGTGGCGCTGTAGCTGTAATGTGGTATAATTAGATAATTGTTTGGCAAGCGCAGTTGCAGTTGTAGCCGTAGTGTGGTGTAATTAGTGTAGTGTATTGCAGTGTAATGTCGTGTAGTGTTGCGTAGTGTAGTGTGGTGAAGTGTAGCGTAGCCTAGTGTAAGGTAGTGTAGTTGTAGTTGTAGCGTAGTGCAGTGTAATGAGTGTAGTGTCGTGTCGTGTAGTATGTGTAGTGTAGTGTAGCGTAATGTAATGTAGTTGTAGTTGTAGTTGTAGTTGCAGTAATTGTAGTGTAATGCAACGTAATCAGTGTAGTGTCAGTGTTGTGTAAAATGTAGTGTGGTTTTAGTTGCAGTTGTAGTTGTAGTTGTAGTATGTTGTAGTGTGCTGCAGTGTAATTAGTGTAGATGTAATTGTAGTTGTAGTTGTGGTGATAGTAGTAGTAGTAGTAGTAGTAGTAGTAGTAGTTTAGTAGTAGTAGTAGTAGTAGTAGTAGCAGCAGTAGTAGTAGTAGTTGTAGTTGTAGTTGTTGTTGTTGTTGCAGTTGTTAGTGTAATTCGCGCAGTGTAGCGTAATTAGATGTAGTGTAGTGTAGTGTAATTAGTGTGGTGTAATGTAGCGTAGTATATTTGTATTTGTAACTGTAGCAGCAGTGTAGTGTAGTGTAGTGGCAGTTGTAGTTGTAATTGCCTATCTGTCTATCTATCTGTTTCTTTCTTTCTTTCTGTCTGTCTGTCTAACTGGAAGCTTGAAAACGCAGCGATTCTGCGATACTTCCTCAATTTTTGACCTTGACAACATCAAAAACGAGACAATTCTGCGAGACGCCCGCAATTTTTGAACCGCATCAAAAACGCAGCAATTCTGCGAGACTTCTTTCAAAAATAGAAAGTTGAGTGCAGAGCTGGCGGCCTCGTGCCAGTGCGTTTTGCGATTTTTCCACTCGAGATTCCACCTGTCTAAAGTACTGCGCCTGCCAGGAAGAAGTGATGCCAGGCCATACGAAGTGCTGCACCTGTCACGCAAAATCATCTTCCCAAAACTGAAGATCTGATGCTCCAAAATGCAACCCCTCTCAGGAAATCAGCGCCCTCGCCTCCTAACATCTCTGATGAACATGTCTCTTGAACTGCGCCTGCCACGGAAAATGTATATTCGCAGGTCCTCTTCAAATGCCGCACGCCTGCCATTGATTTTGGAAATGCTACAAAACCTCACGTCACAATACCCGCTAAACGACGCTTCAACGTCCAAAAGTGGCGCGAGCATGTGGTGTTTTGTACATTTTGACCTCGAGATGTTCTTCGCGCCACAACGGCGTGCACTTTTTCGACATCTCAACTTCTAAAAGTGCTCCGAAGCTGGAGTGTTTTGTGCATTTTGGCTTGGAAGCGCGCCACAACGGCGTGCAACTTTCCTTCTCTCATCTGACCACATGGCTCCGCACCCGCCGCTTTAGCGAGCCTACTTTTGGACCCTCCGGAGCCTAAAGTCATTGGAAAAACACGGTGAATCGCGACTTTTCTACCTTTTCGCGCACCTGGATCTTCTTTCTTCTGAGACTTTCTCCTTTTTGATATTCTTTCTTCTTCTCTTCTCTTCTCTGGCTCTTCCCATCTCTGCTTTTCATCTGTCCATATTGTCGGAAGTTTGACTTCTAAACTTCCTTCGATGAACAAATAAATATGCTTAGGATATTTTAGGATTGTTTAGGTAGAAAAAGGACTAGTGACTGGCACTAGTGCCTTCCAACACCCAACAAACCTGCTTCACTCAGGACTTCACTTACGGGTTGGCTTGCAATGATCCCTAAAACCACACGTTCCATCAATTTCCAGCATCTTCAAATGCACTCTTCATGTCAGCAGGTGGTGTTCAACTCAAGGCTTTTGTGCGCTTTTGTCAGCATCAAGAAACGCACGCGTGCACACCTTCCTGATGAGATCTTCGCAGCCTTGGGACCCACCCACCTGCTATTTGCATCCGAGCATCCCAGCTTCACTTTCCTTGGACCAAGGGCTCGCGAGTGTGTCAAAGGCATGGTTTATATGTTATAAGTTGATCTTTTTTGATTTTTGTTTTAAGCATCGCAATTTACTAATACCATTTACATCCATTTACATATTTTGCTAGCTATCAGGAAGACTACTGAGACAAAGTCAAATAATGGGTCTGCACTCAGCTGAAAGCACCTGTGGAACTGCGTCCCGACTCAGTCGAGTACTTCATGCATTGAAACTATACCAGTACCAGTTGTATGCATCAAGGCCGGGCAAAGCAAGAAACCCAGAGAACAGCGAGCTCCACACATTGAATTCATTTGAATTCCAATTACAACACTAAAATACTAAAAGAATCATGAAGAATCTAGAAAGAACAAGACAGAACCCCTCGCAAATGCAACTGATGCAACTGAATGCAACTCAGTTTCAGCTCCTCAAAATCATGTTGTGACTCCTCGCACAAGCCGCCCAATCTCTTGGCATGGTGATAGTCATCACGTGCCTGAGCCAAGATCCCCAAGCCAAGACTTTGAAACAAGTTGATGCATGGTGCATGGAAAAAATGTGGAAGAGTTGCACGGAAGTTCAGCTTTCCTAGTTGAAATTGATCAACGATGCTGAGCATGCTTTTGTTCAAAGGTGTGGCAGGTGTGGCCACCAGCTGAATTGAACTGCATGTACTCTCAAACGTTTGTTCTTGAAGCCATGGCTTCATCCTCAAATCTTTGTTTTCATGGATCTTATTGAGGGTCTTGCCTTTGCATGGCTAAAGTTCCTATTGTGTTCTTCCATGGGCCCAGAAGTTAAATTGGATCGAGTCGCGCGAATCAATGCGATACAGTAGCGAACCACCAGGTTGACTATATATAATCATCTGGTCTTGGTTGCCCAGTAATATATTGAAGATCATGTGAAGGCTTGCCACTCACTGCTCTCGCTCCCCTGGCGGAGCCTCCTGGTCATTGCCCATAGCATGGTGTGCCATCGCCCGCACCAAGTGCAACTCAGCATGCCCTGTGGTGAATCGTCCCTCAGCATTTTGCCGTCCATGGCGAAACCCCTTTTGCTCCGGCTTTGTAAGTCTTAGTAAGTAATCACGCAGGTCTGCCTTATGATTTTCGTACCATATCCGCACAATATATTTGCATTATAGTTACAATTCAGTTACAATACCAAAACTGAAGATTAAATGTTTAAATGAGATTAGTAGACATATAGATTAGTATTATAGATTAGTCAAGTACAAATAGTATCAGTCAGGTCGTATCACATGTATCACTTGGAGTCAAATGCGACTATCACATGTATCTATGTCGATTCTGTCGATTATGTCGTTATTTTCTTTGGATGTCTTCGCTCAGTCCTCAAGTGTCCACGGGATCCTGGCCAACGAGTCGGTCGAGAGTTTCACGGCCTCCTCCGGCTTCTTCTCAGCAACGTGGATCCTCATGGCGCACTAAGGGAGTTTGTACATCTTAAATCAATTTAAATCATATTTAGTACATTTTACGGATTGGAATGTCTGTTGAAACTTCAATGCACTTCCCCCAGCTTTCAAGAACCTCCCCTGCAAATACGTCAGGTTTTTCTAAACACAATGTGACATGTTCAGTCATGTCCCAAAACCAGGACATTCAGGACATTCAGGACATTCAAAATCATCCAAAACACTAGATCACACACAAACATCATGAACATCATGAAGATCATGAACCCAGGTATACCCAGGTCCTGGCCAAAGCTGTTGGCCACGAAGCCGAATCCACATCGAGGCGCTGCAACTTGCTGAAGAACTCTTTGGCCTAGCGCCAGCGTTGCAACATTCACAATTTTCACGTATCTTCACGTGTTGCGGATTGTGATGATTGATGAGTATGGCAATGGATGGCAATGGCACGAGCGGTTACAAGATCTTACGAGCAAAATCACATGCCTTCACAAGTATCTTGACGTGTCATGAGGGTTGTTGCCCTCAAAAACCTGAAAGACAGGGCTTCACTTCACCCATTTAGAGTGCGGCTGTTGGGATTTCGACTCTTTGGGCAGTTTGGGCACGTTCTCTCCAAGAATCCCTCGTTCTGCTGGATTGATTATTCTGCAGGTTCCTTTCGCGTGCTTCTGTGCTCTCTACACTTAAATCCATCTAACAATGTTATCTAATCGAATTTGTCGACCACGAGAGAGAGCAAGGGGATACAAATGGGAGCAAGGCAGGATGCCTCCTGGTTGCGCCCTTCCTTCCATGCCAGCTTAGCAGCTGATTGCAGCTCAGAAATCTTTGCCGCCCTGGCCAGCCAAATGAAACGGCGATTGTGGATCACTAACCCCACCTCTGCAAGATGTTCCACTCTGATCGGGCAACTGAGACTTAGCACTAGGAGCGGAATGTTGCTGGCAACGCAAATGCTATACAAAGCTATGATTACAGAGTACCATTGCCACGCTGTGAGTAGGAAAACTTTGGCACGACAATGACACACTATATAACATGAAAACAATGTTATATATAGACGAAACATTACGAAACTATAGACCCCTTTCTCTGGACGTTCTCATGAATGCGGAGCTTCTCACAGAAAAGAGCAATTGCAAATAAAATAGCGCAAAAATATTGCACAATGATGCTGCAAGTTCACCGCACTGTAATTAGTTCCAACCCAAGAATGAGACGAATACAACTAACATTCGCAGGCGTCTGCGAAGAAGATAGATATCTAATAAGTATATAAAATTAAATAAATATATATATATACACAATCAAAAATTATTCCTTCGTGCCTCTCTTGCTCTTCACGTACGACAGCCTCGACTTCCAGAGTTTGGGACTCCTTGGCTAATTACGGAGCAGTTTTGAGTCGAGGTTCTCTCAAACCCCAAGGTTTCTGGACTCCCAACCACTACCACCTCAATTTCAATCGGTGTCTCAACGTCATTGCAGGCAACTTGATCTATGTCCTGTAGTATCTCAAACAGGTATTCTTTTCAACCATAACATGTGGATAGTACCAGTATGTGGGTGTATGTGACATGTGGTGACACTTGTGGCTGAGTGCACGGTACAGACGCCTGGTAGACATCTCACCATTGTAAAACACACATGGCTTCATCGCATCACATCGCCATCATGCGACGCTGGGACCCTGGCATTGAGCTTCGCCTGTTTCGCTAACTTTGCCGCGTCCAACGCTTCTGTGGCACCGACCTTGGAACTGCCGCCTGCAGCTTGCCTGACTGCTGCCAGGGCGCGGCAACGCAGGGTGAGCACCTCGGGGCTCCTGGCGCGGTACCATGGATGGCGGTGGATGGTTGCGGGATGCTGTGCCGGGTAAAGGTAGGAAACTGCACAAGGCCCGATGGAAAAGCCAATGTCCAACAATTCAGTCTAGTTCAATACATTGTTGCATTATATATATATATATCACATTAATGTTGAGGTAGGATTAATAAAGCCCCCGAGTTAATCAAGCGCTTTTTCACCGGAAATTTTGGGGCAATACTAAAGTCCTCTACGTGCTGATTTCCCCCCCTAATAACCGTGAAACACCCCCCAATTAATCATGCCCCTCCGGGATCCCCAAATTTTTGGTGGGACTAATTTGCTATTGCTCCCTTTTACTTTTTAATTCGGATTGCAATTTCCAGGGTTACTTCCTATTTTGGTTTACCATAGGTATTCTTCTCTTTTCTCACTGGAATCTGATGGTTTACCATTCATTTTCGAATCTTCCCTCATAGGAATTTGATGGTTTCTACGTGGTTTCCTCATCTTCCCTCAAAGGAATTTGATGGTTTACCAGAGGTTTTCTGATCATGTCTCATTGGAATTTTATGGTTTACCCTAGGTTTTCTTATCTTTTCTCATAGGAATCTCATGGTTTACCATTCATTTTCAAATCTTCCCTCATAGGAATTTGATGGTTTCTACGTGGTTTCCTCATCTTCCCTCAAAGGAATTTGATGGTTTACCAAAGGTTTTCTGATCATGTCTCATTGGATTTTTGTATGGTTTACCATTAATTTTCGAATGTTTCCTCATAGGAATTTGATGGTTTCTACGTGGTTTCCTCATCTTCCCTCATAGGAATTTGATTGTTTACCAGAGGTTTTCTGATCATGTCTCATTGGAATTCTATGGTTTACCCTAGGTTTTCTCATCTTTTCTCATAGGAATCTCATGATTTACCATTCATTTTCGAATCTTCCCTCATAGGAATTTGATGGTTTCTACGTGGTTTCCTCATCTTCCCTCAAATGATTTTGATGGTTAACCATAGGTTTTCTCATCTTTTCTCATAGGAATCTGATGGTTTACCATAGGTTTTCTCATCTTTTCTCATAGGAATCTCATGGTTTACCATTCATTTTCGAATCTTCCCTCATAGGAATCTGATGGTTTACCATAGGTTTGCTTATCTTTTCTCATAGGAATCTGATCTTTCCTCATCCACCTCGCAAGTATGCTCTTGCAACGTGGCACTTTTTTTACTACTGCTACTACTACTACTACTACTGCTACTACTCCTCCTCCTGCTGCTGCTGCTTCTTCTACTGCTGTTACTACTGCTACTACTACTACTACTACTATTACTACTACTACTACTACTACTACTACTACTATTACTGCTACTGCTACTGCTATTGCTACTGCTACTGCTACTGCTGCTACTGCTACTACGGCTACTACTTCTACGACGACGACGACGTAATTTGATATGCACATATACAAGTGGATCCGGATAAGCCACAACCCAAAAAAAAGAGGGCATCTTGAAGGCACCCTCTATCAGTGCAAGGGCTGTGCTTTCAGGGGGTCGAAGCCGCACTATTGCCAAACACACTGGTTTCAGAGGTTTTTTGTGGGTTGGCTCATCACGTTGGGAAGAGGTGACTCTCTTTCATTGCAATAGCTGTCCTTTCATTAGGTCGAAGCCGCGCTATTGCCAAACACACTGGTTTCAGAGGTTTTTTGTGGGTTGGCTCGTCATGTTGGGAAGAGGTGTCTCTCTTTCATTGCAAGAGCTGTGCTTTCATTAGGTCGAAGCCGCGCTAGTGCCAAACACACTGGTTTCAGAGGTTTTTTGGCTCATGATGATGGGAAAAGTTGATTTTTTATCGTTGCAAGAGCCTTTCGTGAGCTGGAGGCGACTACCAAAGGGTTGGGGAGGGTTATTTGGGGGGGTTTTATTAATTGGGGGGGTTGTTTGGGGGTTTGGCTGCGGGTTTGGTTGGGGGGTTAGGGGGGGGTTGCGCATTGTGTTTTTGATTCCGGCAAACCCCTTCCAGGCCCAGTCAGTGGTTCTATAAAGCCATTTTTTGCCATTTAGGGCAAGCCCCCATGGCATAGTGGTATTGAATAGGCTTTGGGCCGATGGACCCAGGTTCGAATCCCGGCGGGTGCGTCTTGCAGCCCGGGGGTGGCACACAGCGGCTTAGATTCCCGGAGGGTGCGTCTTGCAGCCCGGGGGTGGCACACAGCTGGCTTGAATGCTTGTGTGTTGTACCTCTTTCTCTGCCAATGTCTTGCTGTTATGTTAGCTACCTTTGCCTGCTTCTGGACATTGCCTCTAATTACTTCCAGTGGCTTTCTTTCATTGCAAAAGCTGTGCTTTCCGTACGTCGAAGCCGCACTATTGCCAGCACACTGGTTTCAGAGGTTTTTTGTGGGTTGGCTCATCATGTTGGGAAGAGGTGACTCTCTTTCATTGCAAGAGCTGTGCTTTCATTAGGTCGAAGCCGCGCTAATGCCAAACACAGTGGTTTCAGAGGTTTTTTGTGCGTTGGCTCATCACGTTGGGAAGAGGTGACTCTCTTTCATTGCAAGAGCTGTGCTTTCATTAGGTCGAAGCCGCGCTATTGCCAAACACACTGGTTTCAGAGGTTTCTTGTGGGTTGGCTCATCATGTTGGGAAGAGGTGACTCTCTTTCATTGCAAGAGCTGTGCTTTCAGTAGGTCGAGCCGCACTATTGCCAAACAGACTGGTTTCAGATGTTTTTTGTGAAGTTGCCATCAATTGGGCAATTAATTATTCAACAACTACATCAAGATTGCCTGATCTTTCCTCATCCACCTCGCAAGTATAATATACGTTTGCAATGTGGCAATTTCAAGACGCCAAAACTGGAAAAAAGAACGCATCCCCCAAATGATCGATTTCTAATTAAAATTTAATTAAAAAATGCTGTTTTTGGGAGCTCAGAAAGGCTACCCCCCTTGAGCGGCGTCCCCCCCACAAATAAAAGGACGCCCCCCCCAATTAGTAAACCCCAGCCAGCCGCGATGAGTTTTTTATATGCGTGCTTCAGACTGCAATCAATTAAGCAATGAATTAGTTCAACAACTATATCAATATTGCCTGATCTTTCCTCATCCACCTCGCAAGTATAATATACTTTTGCAATGTGCCAGTTTCAAAACGCCAAAACTGGAAAATAAAACGCATCCCCCAAATGATC